GGCATATAAATTGAACCAATAAATAAATATTCCTGTGTAAAAGATTCAAGATAAGGAGATGATGGATGTCCATCCAGATGTTGCTGAACATCAGCTAGTGTGGCTTCAGGCAAAGGATCTTGGGAACAGATCTTCAGCAACCTCAGATGGGATACCCCAAGGTGCTTTTTCAGGAGGCAACTGGACTTTCTTGATTTTGAGACGTTTTGCTCTCTCATCCGAGAAGCTTCTTCAGCTCTACAGGAACCATTTGCACTAGTCAGGTGACCCTGAGGACGCAGATAAACCTTCAAGTGCTTCAATGACCCTCTAAAAGGATGCAAATGACCAGCTGTCTGCAAGGAATATAAATCCTTCCATTCCCCCATCATCCATGTCAGAGCTGAAGAAGCTTCTTGGATGAGAAGCAAAACGTCTTCAAAGACAAATCAGGAAGTCCAGTTGCCTCTTGAAAAAAGCACCTTTGGGACAACCAGGACTTGAAGGACTGTGAATCTCTACAGACTCCGATGGGGTATATATAGAGTATGGGTACCAGATCTAGGTTGTAAAAATCTGCATGACCACAAGAGGGCAGCACAGACATGTTGGGGATGATAGCTCTTTGGCTCCATCTTGTGGTCCTCTGGATTTTTCGGCACACTATATATATATAATATAGATTTTTGCATCTCGTGGCATAAAATGGGTATCCATCTTGATGCCAAAATTGTTTGGGTCTTCCAGAAAAATTAGGAGAAACATTGACATTCCTAAAACACGTTCATTACCAATGGCTTTAAAAAAGAATATATATATATTTTAGTGATGACAATTCCAGAAGAACGTCAAGAGGCATCATGTGTCGTAGATTAAAGTATAGGGGGACAAAGCTTTAGGACATTTTGGGATCAGCCCTGAGAGACCTGCCTTACTCTGGAATGGAGAAGGGGGCTTCATTTCTGTCTCTTCTTCTGACAATCAAGTATCTTGGGTCAATCCCAGGGATGGACTTCAAAAAATTTAGCAAGGGGTTCTCTGCCCAGTTGCTGGGTGGGCATGGCCATGGTGGCACTAGTTGGTCTCCTGCACCACAGGAGGGCGTTTTTGCCCTCCCCAGGCTCTGGAGGCTTTCCTCGAGCCTCCAGAAGGGTGAAAACGGCCTCCCCAGGCTCCGGAGACCCTCTGGCCTTCTGTTTCTGGCCTTCCTGAACTTCCAGTAGGCCCGTTTTTCACATTTATTTATTTATTTATTTATTTATTTATTTGATTTATATGCCGCCCTTCTCCGGAGAAGGCTTACAATGCGTTAAGCAATAGCCTTCATACTTTTGTATATACCTGCTTAGTAGGGCTTTCGCCCCCCCCAAGCGGTCTTCTTTTTTATACAAAGTCAGCTTATTGCCCCCACAAACCGGATTCTCATTTCACCTACCTCGGAAGGATGGAAGGCTGAGTCAACTTTGAGCCTGGTGAGATTTGAACTCGCAGTAATTGCAGGCAGCTGGCAGCTAAGTGCTACTTTATCAGCAGTTTAGTCCGCTGCGCCACCAAGGCTCCCTTCCCGAGCCTCCGCACGTGCCCTGCACTTACCTACATCCAAAACAGGCCGCATGGGGATTCCAGGGAGGGGTGGGGTGGGGTGGACAGGGCCAGCCACGTGTGGGATTTGGGGGTTCTCCGAACTGCACAGAATGTTAGCTAGGGGTTCTCCCAAACCCCTGCGAACCCCTGAATCTACTTGCCTCGGAGTTTTGCTTGCTATGGGTGTATTACTTGGAACCCCGACAGAGAACTTAAGAGAACTTAAAGGTCAGGGTCTCCTTAGATCAGGGGTCGGCAACCTTAAACACTCAGAGAGGTATGGACCCGTCACCCACAGAAAAGAAAACACCGGGAGCCACAAAACTCTTCCCATACCTGACTATTTCCTGAGTGGTCACAAAACTTTAAGACTATGATTTAGTGCAGAAACAAACCACGATGTGGAAAAGAAGGTAGTGGCTTGTATGAAGCTGAGAGAAAACTTGGGGAAAAAAACACAACCTTTCTCCAGAAAGATTTTGCCTCCAGTGGTTATGCGTACTCCATCACTGGAGGTTTTTAAGAAAAGATTGGGCAGCCAATGCGTCCAGGAGGATATAGGGCAGTGATGTTCGACACCGAGTGCCCAAACTGGAACACGCATGCATGCGTGTGTATGGGTGTGCACCAGAGCACTGGAAAATTGAAGACCAGCTGGCTGGTGTACTCATGTGTTTTTGGGCCATTTTGGGCTGTTTTTCGGGCCATTTTCAGGCTGTTTTCAGGCCCGTTTTTTTGGCTGTTTTCAGGCCATTTTCTGGTGCTCCAGCGCCCACAAAGATTAGTGCACTGGAAACCAGACGAGCAGCTGGCGACAGCATGTGTGCCCACAGAGAGGGCTCTACGTGCCACCTCTGGCACGCGTGCCATAGGTTCACTATCATGGATATAGGGATTCTTGCCTGAGCAAGGGGTTGGACTAGAAGACCTCCGAGTTCCCATCCAACTCTTGTTATTCTATTATTCTCCAGCGAGTTTAATTTCAGACCGAAGGGGGAAAGAATCTGCAATATTTTCGCATCTGGGCTTATGCACAAACTCTGTGTGACTTCTCTGTTCTCTTGCCAAGATCCATTTGTGTTTAAACAGACGAAAAATGACTTAATCCCTTTGTATTTTTTTTTTTTCTTTTCAACCCTCTTTCCTCCACAATTAATGCCAGGGAATGGATGGTGTTTGAAAGAAAAGTCTTGTTAATATATAACTTTGCTCTATCCAAGCTTAATCGAGAGCAGGATAGGAAAATATATGAGGATTTAGATCTTTTGGGTCGAGGCTGAAATTCCATGGATGCCTTAGACTCACCATAAAACCCAGAAGCACTGAGACTTTTCTAAACAGTACAGGAAGTCCTTGACTTATAACCATTCATTTAGTGACCGGTCGAAGTTACCAAGGCACTCAAAAGAGCAATTTAGGACCAGGGGTGAAATCCAGCAGGTTCTGGAGAACTGGTAGCGGAAATTTTGAGCAGTTCGGAGAACCGGCAAATACCACTTCTGGCTGGCCCCAGAGCGGGGTGGGAATGGAGTTTTTGCAATATTCTTCCCCCAGGAGTGGGGAGGGAATGGGGATTTTGCAGTATCCTTCCCCTGGAGTGGGGAGGGAATGGGGATTTTGCAATATCCTTCCCCTGGAGTGGGGAGGGAATGGGATTTTGCAGTATCTTTGCAGTATCCTTCCCCTGGAGTGGGGAGGGAATGGGGATTTTGCAGTATCTTTCCCCTGCCATGCCCACCAAGCCACACCACGCCCACAGAACCGGTAGTAAAAAATTTGGATTTCACCACTGTTTAGGACCAATTTTCACACCTACCACCATTGCAGCATCCCCATGGTGATGTGATCAAAATTTAGACCCTTGGCAACTGGCTCACATTTATGACGGTCGCAGTGTTCCAGGATCACGTGATCCCCTTTTGTGAACTTCTGACAAGCAAAGTCAATGGGGGGAAGCCAGATTCACTTAACAACCCGTGTTACTACCTTAACAATGGCAGGGATTCACTCAACAACGGCGGCAAGAAAGGTTGTAAAAAGGTTTGGTGAAACTCAATAACTGTCTGGTTGAGCAACAAAAATATTGGGTCGCATGTCAAGGACTACTGTATATTTTTATATTATAGCTTTAACCTAACACATCAGACAGAACTACCCTTCTCTTGATGGAGAAGACACTGGGTAATTTTCCTCAGTTCAATTGAGAATATAGCTGGAAGAGACCTTGGAGGTCTTCTAGTCCAACTCCCTGCATGAGCAGGAGAGTCTATGCCAGAGGTCTGCAACCTTTAAACACTCAAAGAGCCATTTGGACCCGTTTCCCACAGAAAAGAAAACACCGGGAGCCACAAAACCCTTCCCGTGCCTGACTATTTCTTGAGCGGCCACAAAACTAGCATATGTAGTTGAATTAAACGTTCTGTTTTCTTCTGCAACTTTTCTTTTCTTGGATTCATCCATGGTTGGCCTACCGGGGGTTGAAAAGTTCAAATTGTGTGCTGGCTGTGTTGCACATTGGCGGTTCTGACACATATTTTGAGTGACAGGGAGCTGCAGCAGAGGGGTGAAAGAGCCACATGCGGCTCCAGAGCCGCAGGTTGCTGACCCCTGCCCTACACCATTGGCAGAAGTGGCTGTCCAGTCTCTTCTTAAAAACCTCCAGTGATGAAGCACCAACAACTTCTGAAGGCCAGCCGTTCCGCTGGCTTCCTCAACACAACTAGTTCTCCTCTCAACGTTTTTTCAAGACAGGAAAAACTTTGTTTTGTATCCATGAGCAACAAATAAATATATGTAAAGCCTTAGTAAGGCCACACCTAGAGTCCTGCATCCCGTTTTGGTCACCACACTATAAAAAAAGATGTGGAGACTCTAGAAAGAGTGCAGAGAAGAGCAACCAGGACGATTAGGAGACTAGAGGCTAAAACATACGATGAACGGTTGCAGGAACTCGGCCTGGCTAAGTCTAGTGAAGAGAAGGACCAGGGGAGACATGATAGCATCTTCCAATACTTGAGGGGCTGCCACAGAGAGGAGGGGATCAAGCTCTTTTCCCAAAGCACCCGAAGGCCAGACAAGGAATAATGGATGGAAACTGATCCAGGAGAGATTCAACCTAGAAATGAGGAATTTTCTGACAGTGAGAACAATCAACTGATGGAACAGAAGTTGCCTTCGGAAGTTGTGGGAGCTTCATCACTGGAGGCTTTCAAGAAGAGACTGCACAGCCATTTGTCTGAAATGGTGTAGGGTTTCCCGCTTGGGTGGGGGGTTGGACTAGATGACCTACAAGGTCCCTTCCCACTCTGTTAATCTGTAAAAAAAAATAACTCAGAACTGATGGGTCCAAAAGGAGGGAGACCTCTTGGTCAGTTGAGAGAGTGAATGCTTTTGTTGAAGGAAATGAGTGTGAATTTTCCTCCTTTTTGTTGTTTCAGGTCTATTATTCCTGCGGTGCTCAGTTTAGTTCCTGGGAAAGAGGATTGATTTTATCTCCCGGCTTCCCCAGCAATTATTCGTCGGGCATGCACTGCGTCTGGCGCTTTCTTATTCCTGCCAAGACTTACTTACTGTTGGAGATCTTTGACTTTGATGTCTTTGAAAGCATCACTGAGGACCTGGATGCCTGGGATGGCTATTTTTCTTTGACCAAAAATATAAACAAGGATTCTTCACCCGGAGAAGACACCGCAGAATATCCAAGCACCGTCTTTCCAACCAAGACTTCGGTTGACCTTGATCTTGACTCAACGGATCTCGTTGAGGGCCTCCCAGAAGCCACTTCTCAAAACCTTGAGTGGAAAGAATTCCATCCAAGCGGAGAACCCAAAGACATAGCGGTCACTCAACCAAGTAAATTTCCAATCCAGGAAGGGACTGACAATACCTTGACGAGACAAGGTGGAGAACAGGAGAAGGAGAACTTGGTGGACAAAATATTCTTTGCTCACTACCCTGCTAAGGAGAACGCCGAAAGTCCTCAGAGACGTTTCGGGAAGGTGATTTTTGGAGAAGAGGATGCCATTTCAACGATGATCCTGCCGGTGGTGAACGTATCTTCCACTCCGTCATCCTCCGCTGACGTTTGTCCAGATGATGTCTTATATGTCTCGGACCTCATCGCTTTTTCTTCTCGTTTCTGTGGGGCAAAATCGCCCTTGAACCAAAACATGACCTTTGGGTCTTCTCTTAAGATGGTGGAAGTTATTGTGGAGCTGATCACCACCACCGACCGTGGGCGAGGCTTCGCCATGCTCTTTGAGTACAAGAACGGGACGGAGACGATGCCCACAAACGACATCCAGGATGGAGAAGAGAATACCATGATGTTGGTGGTCATCACGGGCATCCTGTTCTTTGCGATGGTTCTTTTGTCCTCGCTCTGCATTGCATGTAGGTAAGTGAGCGATGGTGGAGTCTTCACCGCTTTGTGTTTTAAACCTTAACAGATTAGCAGAGTTGGAAGGGACCTTGTAGGTCAACTAGTCCAACCCACCCCACACCCAAGCAGGAGACCCTACACCATTTCTGACCGATGGCAGTCCAGTCTCTTCTTGAAGGCTTCCAGTGATGAAGCTCCCACAACTTCTGAAGGCAACTTCTGTTCCATTGATTGATTGCTCTCACTGTCAGAAAATTTCTCCTTATTTCTAGGTTGAATCTCTCCTTGATCTTAATCCTTAATCATGTGTTTCTGAAGTCACTTTAATGGACTTAGTGAAGTGGAGCAATGTTTCTCTGATACAAGAGAAAAGTGACTTCGGAGCAGGGGTGAAATGCTCCCGGTTTGGACCGGATCGTCCGATCCGGTAGCGATGGTGGCGGGTGGTTCGGAGAACTGGTAGCAAAAATCCCTCCCCACCCCCCCATGCCCAGCTGAGCCACACAATCATCAGAGGCTTTTTATTATTTTTAAAAGCATTTTTTCTACAACCTCTTCGGCTGAAAAAATAAAGTAAAAAAAGTAAAGTAAAAAAAAAAGCCTCTGCCAATTAGGCAAGTCAGCTGGGATCGTCAGAGGCTTTCAAAAGCATTTTTTTACAATCTCTTCGGCCGAAGAGTAGTGTAAATAGTGCCGAAGTAGGCACTATTGTGGCCCACCAGTGGCCAGTGGAGCTGGCAGCAGATTCGGACAGTGTGGAGGTTGGGGAGGAACGTGGGCCAGTCCTGGAGTCTGGGGAAGGCTCTGACAAGGGCTCTGCGTCAGAGGCAGAGAGGGGGCCAGGGCCGTCTGACAGTTGTCGGCTGCCTTCAGAGTCAGACATCAGTGGGGCAGAAGAACCTTGGAGCCTGTTCCCGATGTGTGCATGCTCAGAGCTGCCAGGAGAAGGGAACAGCTAAGGAAGAAGGGCTGACTTGGGAGTAAAGGCACACATGGATGGTGAATGGCCCCTCCCATCAGGAATAAAGAGGAGCGAAAGGGGAGTGGAGTTTGCAGGAGACAATTAGTTCATTTCATTAGTGTGAAGTTCTGTTCGTGACTCTCAGAGACTCCTTGCCAGTGGTGAAATCCAATTTTTTTTTACTACCGGTTCTGTGGGCGTGGCTTGGTGGGTGTGGCAGGGGAAGGATACTGCAAAATCCCCATTCCCTCCCCACTCCTGGAGGAAGGATACTGCAAAATCCCCATTCCCTCCCCACTCTGGGGCCAGCCAGAGGAGGTATTTGCCGGTTCTCCGAACTACTCAAAATTTCCGCTACCGGTTCTCCAGAACCTGTCAGAACCTGCTGGATTTCACCCCTGCTCCTTGCCAAGTATTTCCTTGTGTAGCATTGCAAATTTGGAAGATATTGGCCTGGCAGCTCTCCAAGCCTGATAAGGTCCGTGGTTGCAAATTCACCTTGGAAAGACGGTTTGCCGGGACGTTGCTGGATGTGAATGAGAGGAATTCACATTAGCTTAATAAAAAGGGGTTTTGTCGGGACAAGGAGCCTTGGTAGTACAGTGGTTTAATGCACCCTGTTATTAACACAGCTGCCTGCAATTTCTGCAGGTTCGAATCTTACCAGGCTCAAGGTTGACTCAGCCTTCCATCCTTTCTAAGGTAGGTTAAATGAGGACCCAGTTTGTGGGGGCAATAAGCTGACTTTGTATAAATATACAAAAGTATGAAGGCTATTGCTTAACGCATTGTAAGCCGCCCTGAGTCTCCGGAGAAGGGCGGCATATAAATCAAATTAAAAAAAAAAGGAGTCTGCTTCGTGCTTTCAGGAAGCTTAGGTGAAAACACAAGCTTCAAGCTCTTTCCTTCCCGATCCAAAAGTCCCAAACTCGATTGCTCAGTTATTAAGGAAATCCATGTGCTGTTTTGGGGGAGCGTGGCAGTGGTGGATTTCTACCGGTTCGCACTGGTTCAGGCGAACTGGTAGCAGCTGCGGCGGGAGGCTCCATCCACCTGCCCGGACATCATCACGGACATTCTGTGCATACGCAGGTTCTGGAAATGCGCAGAAGCGCCACACGCGAGCAAAGCGAGCGCACGCACGCATGCGCTCCCAGTTCCGAACTGGTAGCGAAGGTAAGTGAAACTCACTACTGGAGCATGGGACATGTTCTCCTTCCCTGTTGCTCTGCCGTGCTTTCCTGAAGCCCCAGCAAGTAGCTACTGTGGTGGTGTTTACTTCTCTCGATTCGTCTCTCCGTCTCCTCCTTCTCGTTTTCATCGGTGAGGCTAAATGTAGCGGCCTGGATCAAGTGAGCAACCCGGCCCAGACATATTTCTCCACTTCTGGCTGTGTAAGTCACCTAACGCTGTTCTAATAGTCTGTGTTTGTGCGCGTAAATGAGTGGAAGCGGGAAAGGAGGAAGAAAAGACAGTTCCTCAGTGAAATGTCCCGCGATTCATTTTCCTCCACCACTCTCTGGGGATTCTCCAAGATTTTGCCACACTGCTCCCTTTGTGTACCGGTTGGAGAAGGAATGAAAGCTTCATTTGTTGGTTTGGCCAATCCTTCTAATTGCGTTTGGCCTCTGAATTCATCTGGCCACCTTCGTGAATATGAACCGTGTCCTGTACAATCCGGGATGGGGTCGTCTCGATGCGTTTTGCGGAGACAAAAGAAGTTGCCACCAACTTTGCAAACTATTGGAATAGCCGAACGGCCAACTTACGGGAAGTCCTTGTCTTACGACCGCAACTGAGCCCTGATGTCAGGCCTGGAAGCCATCTTTTGCATTGGGCCTTCAGGCCAGTGGTGAAATCCTCTGAAGTCGGTTCTGTGAGTCTACTACCGGTCGTAAATGCGCGCCTGAGGCATGCCCACACAGCGCTAAAAAAGGAACATTTTGAAGCCTTCCGAGTCTGCAAAGGTATGTAGAACAGCGAGGGGCGTAGGGAAATCCGCTGTGCCACGTGATTTAGATTCAGTAGAAAGCAGGAAATCCAACGATTCTAGCTAATATAAATCGTACGTCACAGCTGATCGTCGGAAATACCGGTTTGCCCGAACTGGTAGCATTTCACTCCTGCTTCAGGACTGCCACATTTACTACTGTGGGAAACTGGGAGGGGGGATTGTATGGAGCCAGTGTGACATATAGCCATAATAACATTCCTTTCTCAGACAGTCAGGGACATCTTGCCCTGCACTTGGAAGACTGGAACTGAGAGACATGTACAGTTGGGACGGTCCATGTGATGGACATGTGGGTGCTGGGCAGGGACTTGGACTTTCCTTTGGGTGGGGAAAATCTGGAAGCTTTCAGATTCGGGTTTTCCCAGATGTGCCAATAAGGTAAAGGTTCCCCTCGCACATAGGTGCTAGTCGTTTCCGACTCTAGGGGACGGGTCTCATCTCCGTTTCAAAGCTGAAGAGCGAGCACTGTCCAAAGACGTCTCCGAGGTCATGTGGCCGGCATAACTCAACACCAAAGGCGCATGGAATGCTGTTACCTTCCCACCAAAGGTGGTCCCTATTTTTCTACTTGCATTTTTTATGCGCTTTTGAACTGCTAGTTTGGCAGAAGCTGGGACAAGTCACGGGAGCTCACCCCGTTACTCAGCACTAGGGATTCGAACCGCTGAACTGCCGACCTTTGATTGATAACGTCAGCGTTTTAGCCACTGAGCCACTATGTCCCATCATGATGGGCCAATATGACATCTCTAATAAAGTGGAACTTTGAGGAACTTCAAGCCTCGGAGTCTTTTTTCGTTGGGGGTGTTACTTGGAATCCTGACACCTGAAGTTGTGTTGCTAAGCAAGACATTGGTTAAGTGGGCTTTGCCCCGTTTTACAACCTTTCTTGCCACCGTTGCTAAGTGAATTGCTGCGTTTGTTCAATTAGTCACACAGTTGTTAAGCGAACCTGGATTCACCCGTTGACTTTGCTCGTCAGAAGGTTAGCAAAAAAGGGGATTGTGTGACATCCCCCGCCCCCCGTGGGACGCTGCACCCGTCATAAATATGAGTCCGTTGCCAATGTTTGAAAACATCGTAAGAGTGGAAAACGGTCCTAAGTCACTTTTTCCAGTGCTGTTGTACCTTTGAACGGTCATAAATGAACCGTTGTAAGTTGGGGACTTCCTGTACAGGTTCTAACAGCAACTTGTCAGTAGCCATCTTTGGAAGCGTGTCAAGGGAGACAAAGGTTGGTGATTATCCCGAAGGACTTTTTGCAACTAATTGGGACTCAGCTGTGAATGAACGTAATTCACAGCTGTTGCAATAAAAGAGGTTTTTGGGACTACTCGTGTGTTTGAATGACTCAGGAAGCCTCGGTTACAACAAGTGTGGTGGATTAACAAGAGTCCAACCCAACTTGAGAAAGTCTGTAGCTTTGTATATGAAGGACACTTAATAATTAAATGTGTTCCTTCTTTATTTTCTAGGTGGAGGTTATGTCTCAAAAGAAGTTCTCTGGAAGTCCACAGTGATCAAGAAGTAAGTATCGTTATTTCAGGTCCTTCTGTGGACTTTCGTTTACCACTTTTGAAACAGGTTGCTGATCGATTGCTTGAACTTGGAAATGTTTGGAATTGTAGAACCAGATCCAGAACTCCAGCGTTGACGTCAGTGAACTCCAGCTGGTGATCCCATGTCAAGAAAACGAAAACAACAATCATTCCCTTGGCGTCGGTAAGCAGAAAAAGGTTAAGTGGACTTTGTTGTCCAATCTTTGCAACTAGAGAGTTCTTGTTCAGGGTCCAATAGTCCATTTCATCCTCGCTGTGATATCACACAACCAAAGAGTATTATGAATTTATTGATTATAGATTAAGGAATGACCTGCTAATATATCAGTTGTTCTTGTTGTTAGTTGTGAAGTCGTGTCTGACCCATTTAAGCTCATGCTGACTGCTTCAGTGACTCCATCCAGCCACCTCGTTCTCTGCCGTCCCCTTCTTCTTTTGCCCTCAATCTTTCCCAGCATTAGGCTCTTCTCCAGTGAGTCCTTCCTTCTCATTAAGTGACCATTTGAGTATTTGAGTTTCCTCTTCAGGATCTGGCCTTCTAAAGAGCAGTCAGGGTTGATCTCCTCTAGGACTGATCCATTTGATTGCCTTCCAGTCCAAGGGACTCGCAGGAGTCTTCTCCAGCACTGTATCAGAGACATCCTTTAATAGCAGCTAGTTATTTCTGAACCACTGTGAGGGAATTGTGGGAAGCAAAGTCCAATGTATCTAGAGGTCCTACAAGATTAGGAAAAGGTGATAGAAGACATGAAGAAGCACTTTGGAAGTCTTCCAAGGAGAAGATTCATGACTGTTAGAGAAGATCCATGACTTAGAACAACGTTTATCAAGCTTGGCAACTTTAAGATAAGTAGACTTCGACTCTCAGAATTCCCCAGCCAGCCAGCAAAGAGTGGTGGAGAAGAAGAATGAATCTCTGGGCAAATCTGATTGGGGAATTCTGGAAGTTGAAGTCCACCCATCTTAAAGTTGCCAAAGTTGAGAAATCTATAGATATATAAAAGCCAAATACCACTCACGCATCATGAAATCTCCAGAATGGTAAAGCCTACAAACTTGAAATTTGGCACGTATGTTCCTCTTGGCTTCTAGGTGCTCGCTAAGAAAGGATTTTTCGAAATGACCATCAGATCATTAGTATTTCATATACAGTATTATATTCACACGCTCTGATGCTAAGGAGTTAAATGTTCTACTCCCCCTCCCCACCTGAAAGGAACTCTGTCCCAACTGCCAGTTGCCTTAAATTCACATGCTCTAATGCTACGAAGTTACACGTTCTACATTAGGTTTCAAGCTTTAAGTGTCAATTTATCACGCCCGATCACATAGTTTCGTAGCGAAGCACGGGCGTCCAGCTAGTACTTCTATAGAGCATTTGAGAAGAATGCAGAATGGGTTACAAATAATTCTGAAAACATGCTTGCTATTTCTTTGGTGCAAATAAATACATTTTGGTATTTTCTCCAGTCACTTCCTGTCCTGGCAATCTGGAACCCATCATCGATCTAGATGCCCCTCCAATGTCAGCCGTGATGGGAGGTGACGAGGTGTTCATTATTTCTGCCAATCCAGAACCTGGTCGCTTGAGTTTTACCTCTTGTAAAATACAGGTAAGGGACAGGTAAGGGGCAGAGAGAGAGAGAGAGAAAGAGAAAGAAAAAGAGGAAGAAAGAGAAAGAGAAAGAGAAAGAGGGAGAGAAAAAGGGAAAGAGTAAAAGAGACAGAGAGAGAAAAAGAAAAAAGGGAAAGCAAGTGATAGAGAGAAAAAGAGAAAGGAGAAAGAGAGAGATAAAGAGAGCTAAAAAGGTAAAGAAAGAGAGAAATAGAAAGAAATAGAGAAGGGAGAAAGAAGAGAGGTAAAGAGATAAAAAAGGAAAGAAAGAGAGAAAGAGAAAGAAAGAAGGGAGAAAGAGAGGGAGAGATAAAGAGAGGATAAAGAGAGGGAGATAAAAAGGAAAAGAGAGAAATAGAAGGAGAGAGAGAAGGGAGAAAGAGGGAGAGATAAAGAGAAATAAAAAAGGAAAGAAAGAAATAGGAGAGAGAGAAAGAGAGAGAGAGAAAAAGTAAGTTTCCTTGTTCAGATTTTGCCTGCTTTTAATCTCGTTTTTTTTTTTGCCAGCCAAATGTTTTGGCTTTGCTTGCATTTCATCAATAAACATCCAGCTATATATTTTTTTTCTGCATGGATTCTTGCTCTGGCCTGAATAGAGGGACCGTCTGGGGAATGGGCTGGCTGCAGTGACCACCATTTCCCCACAAAGCCACGCCGTGGCTCAAGAGAGGGTGTTTCAATCCATCTAGGCGCTGCTTGAAAATCCCACGCCATCTTCCCACGGGGTTCTCTCGCTCTCTCCTTAGGACAAGAGGTTGACGCGAAGCATCACTAGTCCAACTTCCGTGTCGGAATGGCTGATCCCCAAGCAAACGGAGCCCGGCAGCCAAGCGTCCAATTCCCGGGCGGGACACCCTTATCTGAAGCAGCAGGCGTGGCGCACAAGGACCTTCCACGATCTCTTGACTCCGTTCCCACAGCTCCAGGAGCAATGGGGCCACTGGACAAACATCAGCCCTTTGCCCAAAGCAGCCAAAAGCGGGGTGAGTATTGGCGCCTGGGGAGGAAAGGAAGCAGGTGTGAAGCCAGGGGTTCTGAAACCAGTTCCAGCTCTTCCACCGCTGGTTAAGGTACAGGTAGTCCTCGACGTATGACCGTTCATTCGAGGTTACAACAGCGCTGAAAAAAAGGGGACTTGCAAGCCGTTCTCGCATTGGAGATCCATCCCAGCATCCTCACGGTCAAGCTTGGGGAGTGGCAGGTGTTGAGGGTGGTGGCACCATCCAGGGATCACGTGATCTCCGTTTGGGGGCTTCCAACAAGCCAAGTCAATGGGGGAAGATCAACCAAGGTGATCGCTTAACGTCTGTAGCAGAAAGGTTGTAAAATCAGTCATCGCTCAATGATGGTGGATGGTGGAAGTTCTGAGCCCAGTTATGGTCATATGTCAAGTGCTACTTGTATATAAGAGTGTAACAAAACCTGTGCTGAACCAAATCGTGTTTTCCCGAAAATAAGACCCTGTCTTATATTTTTTTGAACCCTGAAATAAGCACTTGGCCTTATTGCCATGCGCTCAAAAGCCTGATTGGGCTTATTATCAGGGGAGGTCTTATTTTGGGGGAAACAGGGTATATATATTCTATATCCTTATATATAAAGATGATATAGATGATTGATTAGAGAGAAATTAGAAATTAGAGAGAGTGAGTATATATATATATATCAGCGAACATAGAAAAGCGACAATTCTGATCTCGCAGCATACCCACAGCTTCTAAACGGAAAGTAGGGGCCCGATGATGACAAGTTAGAGAGCTTGTCGAAACGTTGCCAAAAAGAAAACTTTTAAAGTGTTGGTTAGGATTTTAGCCAGAGTTTCAAAAGACCTTACAAAGTGTTTTGTTGGGATTTTGGAGGATCTTAAGTTGGCATTTTAGCCAGGATTTTAAACATTTCAACTAACAGACTTTTAATGATGCGGGAAAACACCCGAGATTTTAACTTTATATACATACATATACATATAACTTACATAAACATATATATATATTTATCATCTAATATCTATATCTATATCTGTATCTATCTATCTATCTATCTATCTATCTATCTATCTATCTATCTATCTATCTAATCTAATATCTCTATGTCTTATCATCTATCATCCATCAATCATCTATCACAAGAGCCAAGGTGGCGCAGTGGTTAAGAGTGCAATACTAAAGGCTACTTCAACTGACTGCTAGCTGCAGTTCAGCAGTTCAAATCTCACCAGGCTCAAGGTTGACTCAGCCTTCCATCCTTCCGAGGTGGGTAAAATGAGGACCCAGATTATTGGGGGCAAGAGGCTGACTCTGTAAACTGCTTAGAGAGGGCTGTAAAAGCACTGTGAAGCGGTATATAAGTCTAAGGGCTATTGCTATCTATCTAATCATCAAACACTTTCTCGATCCCATCTTTATTTCTTCCCCCCTCTCTCTCATCTGTAACTATCTAATCCAGGGGTCTCCAACCTTGGCAACTTTAAGACTTGTGGACTTCAACTCCTGGAATTCAACTCCCAGAGTTGAAGTCCATAAGTCTTAAAAGTTGCCAAGGTTGGAGACCCCCCGATTCTAATCCATACGCAAGAGCCTTAAAGGAATGTTTCTTCTCTATTTTCTCTCAAAGTTCTTGACACGGATCTTCTCTTCCCTGCCAGGGTTTTTCGACCTCCACCCCAAACCAGCCCATCAGAATCCAAAAAGTGAGCTCCGCTGGAGAAACTGAAGGAATTTCCGAAGGGTCACACTTGGAAGCTTTAGTCAGTAACCCATGGACACGCTCGGCTCAGAAACCGCAGAAGCCGACCGGTGGTTCTAACTCGAGAAGGTCCCAATTTGCAAACCCTTCTTTTGATTTCTTGACCGGTTCTCCTGGCTGCGGCCAGCCGGGACTTCCTGAGCACTCCGAAGCTGAGGGCATTCTGTCTCTGGTCCAAAGTCCCCGTCTGGGAGGGAAGGATGCTCCAGACGCTGCCCTCAGATTGAAAAGCAACGCCATCAACTCTTCCAAGCCCAAGGAGGCTTCTGTAGACATGGACGGGCCCAAAGCGGTGTTTGTGATTTCTGAAGAAGGAGATGATCAGCAGCCTTTGGTTTTGGCGGAGCACACAAATCAATGCGTTGATGTTTTGTCCGAGACAAACGCTGTCATCTGTGAAGGAGGGACGGCCGCAAGGAAGGAGCAGATAGTGGACCTATCGCTTGAAGACTTGGAGGAGGCCACCAGAAGCAGGTTGGGCATTGGTCCTTGGGGGGAACCCTCCAGTTCCTACCAAGATCCCTTTCAGGGCGACGGGGATGAAACCTACGCTCCTGGTCCAAAACCAGAGTCGCTGGCTCGTTTCAATTCAACGACTTGTCCGAACGTGCTTTTTTGATCGTCCATGAAGGTCCTTCATGAAACTGGAAGCGGTGAAGATCTTTTGAGGTGGAACGGAGCTGTTCTGCATGCAGACGTTCAAGAGACAACCTTTGATCTGCTTAGGGGGCACGGATCCTGCACTCAATGACGCTCGCCCAAAACTTTTATCTTAAGTTGGATGCGATGATTATGGATACTGCTGTGGAGCACAATTTTTGGTCTTGATGCATGAAGACCCACCTGACGTTTTCCTTCTGAAATAAGCTTGTTTTTGTTTTTTTTTAAACTTGTGTTTGAATTGGGAGGTGTGATCAGATCTAGAGCCTATCAGGTTTTAGGTAAAGGAGGCTGTTCTGGATATAATCCTTAGTAATCAACCAAATTCTGGCTATGATGTGGAAGGGTCAGTGGTGGGATTCAACCAGTGTAACAACCGGTCCGCTGAGCGCACGGTTCACCCAAACCGGTCTGAACCGGTAGAATCCCACCCCTGGGAAGGGTGTAAAGTTCTACTGATGTTTGATTATAGTTCCCCGCCCCCCAAAAAGGGTGACTGTGAACAGAACTGGAATAACTAAAAGTACGAGCAACGCTTGTATTGAAAAGGCGATTGGGGGGCGACTTTTTTAGATTAACACATTTTATTTAAAGGATTCACTGGCGTTTGTGAATCCTATCTCTCTCCCCCCCCCCCCCAGTGACTACAATGAGAAGATGAGGTAAAGTCGGGTTAATGAAACACCGTCACTCACACCAACAACAGAGTTTGCCATTCGCACAACACATAACGCCCAGTTGGTGTGACCTTGGGATTCAGAGTTTGGGTAGGTTGGTGTGGTCGCGGGTGCTCGAGAAAAAAATTCGCCGAAGTTGTGAGATTGCCAAAATTGTTATCGTGGCCAAGTAAGAACGCTTCGGTGAATTCTGAAAGCGGGCTAAAGCCTTTTAAGAAGGCGACTTCTTCCGATTAACCTGACTAGGTAGCTCAGTGGCTAAGACGCTGAGCTTGTCGATCAGAAAGGTCGGCAGTTCGGCGGTTCGAATCCCTAGTACAGGTCTTCTGCGTGAGCAGGGGGTTGGACTAGATGACCTCCAAGGTCCCCTTCCAACTCTTGTTACTGTTACTATAAGATTTGAAGACCGCAATAGGCTTTGGAGCAGACGATGGTTCTCCCACCACGCCTACCTAGATCGCTCTTTAAAGCAGCTGCATCTTTTCTGGGATCGCACACGATGACAGAATCTGGGGGAAGAGACGCGATGGGTTTAAAGGTTTGCCGTCCTAAAGGCACAATATTTTGTGTTGGCCCTGCTCCACATTATTAAGCCAACACCCCGGCCTTTGTGGTTCAAATTCCTCACTCGAGAAAAGATTTTCAAAGATGGATCGGTCTGCGACACCTTAGTAAATTGCACTTGGAATTACAGTAGTATTAGAGAGTGGGGTGCACGCTGAAGATTTGTGTTGGTTGAGGAGGTTTTTTTTGTTTTTGTTTTAATTTGATTTATATGCTGCCCTTCTCCGGAGACTCAGGGCGGCTTACAATGCGTTAAGCAATAGCCTTCATCCTTTTGTATATTTATACAAAGTCAGCTTATTGCCCCCACAAACTGGGTCCTCATTTCACCTACCTTAGAAAAGATGGAAGGCTGAGTCAACCTTGAGCCTTGGAGAGATTCGAACCAGCAGTAAATTGCAGGCAGCTGTGTTAATAACAGGGTGCATTAAACCACTGTACTACCAAGGCTCTTCAGAGTTTGAACCGGGGGTGGGATTCAGAAATTTTAGCAACCAGTTCTCTGCCCGGTTGCTGGGTGAGTATGGTGGGCGTGGCCTACTTGGCCTCCTGCACCACAGGGGGCCCAGGGGTGGGTTCTACTTACCTTTACTACTGGTTCGCAATGGGAGCGCGCGTGCTTCTGCGCATATCATCCATTATGACGTCCGGGCGGGTGGGCAGAGCCTCCTGCCTATTTTACTACCGGTTTGCAAGAACCAGACAGAACCAGGAGCAACCCACCAACGGTGGGGGTGGGGGGGTTTCACCTTCTTCAGACTCCGGAGGCTTTCCTCAAGCCTCTGGGAGGGCGAAAACAGCCTCCCCCAGGCTCCGGAGGCCCTCCAGAGGCTGGAAACGAGTCCGTTTCCGGACATCCGGTAGGCCCATTTTTCGCCCTCCCAGATCCTCCGCGTGGGCCCTGCACTTACCTGGCATCCAAAACGAGCTGTGTGGAGACTCCTGGGAGGGGTGGGGTGGGGTGGGGTCGGGCAGGAGGGGTCAGCCAGTCCTTGCAACAACCAGTTTGCCGTACCAGATTATAATTAACATCCGATTTGCCCAAACTGGTCTGAACCGGCCGAATCTCACCCCTGGTTTGAACTGAACGGTAGGTGATGGATAAGATGTTAAGCAAACTTTGTTATGTTTTTTACAGAAGATGCATGATTTATCTGCAAAGTCCGTGACCATTAGCAACTTATAGGTAGTCCTTAATTTACAACAGTTCATTTAGTGACCATTCAAAGTTACAAAGACACTGAAAAAAAAAAGCGACTTACGACCGCTTTCCACACATACGACCGTTGCAGCAGCCCCGTTTAAAATTCAGACACTTGGCAACCGACTCACACTTATGACGGTTGGTCACGCGATCCCCCTTTTGCGACCTCCTGATAAACGAAGTCCAAGGGGGGACCAGATTTATCTAACCACCCCGTTAAGTCATTTAACAAGGCAGCGATTCACTTAAGCGTGGCGAGAAAAGCCGTAAAACAGGGCACTTCACAAATTTCTCACTTAGCGACATAAATGTTGGGCTCTGCTGTGGTCGCAAGTTGAGGACTACCTGTAAATGCTTCCCTGTGGCCATTAAAACAGGGCACCGCTGGGTCTTTAATCGGACAACTTTTTAAAGTTTTTAAAAAGCCGGCTGCACCTAACGGCCTGATTGGTATTTTAATGGCCTTGTCCTGGAATGCGATTTTAGCTTTTCAGATTTTTTTTAAGGCTGGAATAGAAGGGAATGTTATCCAAATCCTGCATTTGCTTCAGGCAGCTGTTGGAGAAAGTCCTTGAAATATCTGCTGGAAAACAGGTGCCAAGGGAAGGAACGGGAAAAATCCAGCTCTATTCAAATAGAGTTTTTTTTTTTTTTTATTAGCATTTTTCGGGCGCCGTCTGGGAGCTTTAAAACTGGCTCCTAAATTGCTTAACTCAGATTAATTTCTCATTTTCACCTGCTTTTTTTAAGCTTCCATCTGTGCTAGTTTAGAGTACCGGGCGCCGTTGTGGAAGGGCTTAAGATTTGTGTGTGTGTGTGTGTGTGTTGTGTGCACATTTGCACTTTGAAATGAAGTATTTTCTCACCTATAGGAGCAGTAGATTTGATCGTAGTAATGGGGAAATGCGAGCAGAATTTATAGTGCCTTTAAAGCTGAAAACCTGCTTTCCTATCCGACTTTAATCTGTTCAAGATTGCTAGTTCTGTTTTTTGCTTCAAGCAGGACAATCAAATTGAAGGATTCTCCCTGCCCCTAAACTGCCGTTCCCTGTTGTTTTTGCAAATAATAATAATAATAATCATCAATTTATAAGAAGTTTGTTTGAGTTCTCTCGTCTCTCCCAAAAGCTGGGCGTTGTTTTTTTTCCTATTACATTTTCATACCTTATAGCTACGTGATCAGTGCAGGAGATACGTCTATGTGTAAAAAAACCTAAATAAATACAAAATTCCTAAAATACTTTCCAGCTTTTTATACGTTACTGGTCTGGGTAGAAAGCAAGCTGGTGTGGAGTCTATATTTGTAAAGCTGCTTCAACTTTGTAGCTTGTAGTTCCAAATTTGTGCGTCTGAATTCTAAGTCACATACGTGGCAGGAATTGTCTCACTTGTGTGCAATTTCTCCCACAGGTTACAAGTAGTTTAGCATACCGAATAGAATAACAGAGTTGAAAGGGACCTTGGAGGTCTTCTAGTCCAGCCCCCTGCTGAAGCAGGAGAACCTATACCATTTCAGACAAATGGCTGTCCTGTCTCTTCTTAAAAACCTCCAGTGATGAAGCATCCACAACTTCTGAAGGCAAGCTGTATTCCAGTATTTGAAGGGCTGCCACAAAGAAGAGGGGAGTCAACTAATTTTCCAAAGTACCAGCAGACAGGACAAGAAACAATGGATGGAAACTAATCAAGGAGAGAGGCAACCTTGGATTAAGGAGAAACTTCCTAACAGTGAGAACAATTAACCAGTGGAACAGCTCGCCACCAGAAGTTGTGGGCGCTCCATCACTGGAGGTTTTTAAGAAGAAATTGGACAGCTATTTGTCCAAGGGTCTCCTGCTTGAGCATGTTGTGGTCTGCTAGCAGCCTGCGGAAGTGGCAGCGGAGTTGGACAGTGAGGAGGTTGGGGAGGAACATGGGCCAGTCCTGGAGGCTGAGGAAGGCCCGGAAGAGGGCTCTGTGTCAGAGGCAGAGATGGGGCCAGGGCCATCTGAGAGCGATGTGCAGATTCCGGAGCCTCCAGAGTCGGACAGCAGAGAGGCAGAGAAACAGGAGGAGCCCGTTTCTAGTGCATGCATGCACAGAGCTGCCAGAAGGCAAGAGCAGCTAAAGCAAAAGGGACGACTCGGGAGTAAGGTCTGAAGATGATTGGCCCCTCCCATAAGGCTTAAAAGAGAAGCAAAGGCACATGGGCCCTTTGCAGGAAAGCAACGTTGTTAATTCTGTTCCCAGTCGGCATCTCTGTTTGATTCTGGACTCCGTGTGGCTTTGCCAAGTAGGTCTTTGGCAGTGTGTCAAGGGAGATAAAGGGTGATTATCCCGAAGGACTTTTTGCAACTAATTGGGACTCAGCTGTGAATGAACGTAATTCACAGCTGTTGCAATAAAAGAGGTTTTTGGGACTACTTGTGTGTTTTGATGACTCAGGAAGCCTAGGTCACAACAAGATCAGGGGGTTAGACTAGAAGACCTCCAAGGTCCCTTCCAGCTCTGTTCTGATTGATTGATGGTCATAAATGGAGAACCGGTCATAAGTAACTTTTTCCAGTGCTGTTATAACTTCAAGCAGCTGGATGAATGGATGTAAGTTGAGTATTGCTTGCCTTTTGCAATGCAAAAGATGCTAGTTTCATTCTTGACAAGGATGGAAGATTTTTTTTTAAACACCCGGTAGTGCCTACCTCTGATTTACTCTTTTGTAGAAGGGAGGCAAAATCTACAGAAATAAATTTTTAGTGTCAACAGATAGATAGGTTGTGGTGAGTGCGCACAGCCAACAATTCCCTCTTTATTAGATAGTCCTCAACTTATAACAGCTTGTTTAGTGACCAGAGTTACAGTGGCACTGAAAAAAGTGACTTATGACCGATTCTCACACTTATGACTGTTGCAGCATCCCCGTGGTTACGGGATCAAAATTCAGATGCTTGGCAACTGACTCGTATTTATGACGGTGGCAGTGTCCCCGGGGGGTCATCACGTGATTCCCTTTGGTGAACTTCTGACAAGCAAAGTCCATGGAAAGCCAGATTCACTTCACCATATTGCCAAGAAAAGTTGTAAGGTGGGGCCAAATTGACGCAAGAACTGTCTCGTTTAGCAATAGAAACTTTGGGCTCAACCGTGGTCATAAGTCGAGGACTACCTGTACTCAGAAGGTGGTCTCCTTATCCACAGAGCAAGCAAGCTCCTTCCCATCGGCTAAGTCTATCAAGCCAATATTTATTTGGGATAGCCCTTTGTTTTTCCATCAATCACGCAGAAACATTTGGATGGAAAATTGGTCTGGAATGCAAGTGCCAGCGCTGTTGTGGCCCGCTGGCGGCCAGTGGAGCTGGCAGCAGAGTCGGACAGTGAGGAGGCTGGGGAGGAACATGGGCCAGGCCTGGGGGCTGGGGAAAGCTCGGACGAGGGCTCTGCGTCGGAGGCAGAGAGGGAGTTAGACAGCAGCAAGGCAAAGGAACAGCTGGAGCCCGTTCCAAGTGTGCACATGCGCAGAGCTGCCAGAGGACAAGAACAATTCAGAAAACAGGGTCGATTTGGGAGTAAAGCCACACCTTGGAGATGATTGGCCCCTCCCCTAGGAAACAAAAGAGGAACGAACGGGGAGGGGGCTTTTGCAGGAAACAATTTGTTTGTTCATTTCAAGAGTGGAAAGTTCTGTTCGTGACTCTAAGAGACTCTGTGCCAAGTTTTGCCTTGTACTGCGTTTGGAAACAAGTTACGTGGCAGCTTGCCAAGCGAGATAAGGTTTGTGTGGATAAATATTCCTTTGAAAAGCTGTCTGGACAAGCCTTGCTGACTGTGAATGAAAGGAATTCACAGCCATGTAAATAAAAAAAGAGGTTTTGTCGGGATGAAAACTCTGCTTGCTGCTTTTTAAGGCAGCCTTGTTCAAAACCGAGGTGGCGCAGTGGTTAGGGTGCAGTACTGCAGCTACTTCAGCTGACTGCTAGTTCAGCAGATCAGCGGATCAAATCTCACTGGCTCAAGGTTGACTCGGCCTTCCATCCTTCCGAGGTGGATAAAATGAGGACCCAGATTGTTAGGGGGCAATATGCTATTTAGTATACTGTCTTTGGTGTGAGTCGCCCAGAGTCCTCAGAGAGTGGGCGGCATAGAAATATGACTAATAAATAAATAAAATAAAATAAAAACAAGCACCATCTTTAAGCTTTCCCCAATAAACCCAACCTTGGCCTGCGTGCCAGCCTGAGCCGACATCCGAAGACAAGCAAAGCAAAAAAGTCCAACATTGTGCATTTTAATATTTTCCAAAGATAAATCATGAACCCCAAAGCCCAACAGTTATCGGAATTCTTTTCTCCCCCCCACTCTTTTCCAAGCCACCAGCTTGCGTACAAAGGAAACAAAAGCGGAAAACATTTCTTCTTAGAGCAGATAACAAAACTTTCCAACCGCCCATCCTAAGCGTGGAGTGAACCACGCTAAATCCCCTGGAAGACACTTGTATGATTGGAATGAAGGAGGAACGTTTTGCTGGGGAGACGGGGAGGGGAAAGATAAATTGCTGTTTTTAATTCTTCTATTTACATTTTGGCTGGCGACGGACAGCCATGGCAGTCAACGTCGACTGAGAGAAGAGAACCAAATTCTCTTTTTTTTTTTCCACGTTTGGAAGGGGAGAAGTCACCTGACGACCTCACCTGGGCTAGCCAGAAGCTAACCTAGGAGAAACTGACATGGCTCTGGGTGTGGTTTTGCAGTCCCCTTCGCTTCTCCATTCCCTGAGACGGGAAAAACGCACCCGTTGCAACAACGAACAGTCCCATGCAAGCTTTGATGGCTGCAAGGTCCGTCGTCTTTATAATTTTCCTGCCGTCGGCGTGGAAGTCTCACAGCGTGTCTTAGCAGTCCACTTAATGTGGTCTGTGAACACAAGGAGCCACGGCGCCTGAAGCCTTTATGTGGCTTTTTTACTGAAACAGGCTTGGGATTAGACGCCATCGGCATATGGCAGAGGTCTCCAAACCTGGCAACTTGTTGACTTCAACTCCCAGAATTCCCCAGCATGGGGGAAGTCGAAGTCCACAAGTTTCGAATTTTGGAGATCCCCGCTGTACAGGATAATCTTGGAAGCTCTATTTTTTTTATTAAAAAAAAGGGGAGCGAAAGAAGTCTGCAGATAGAAAATGAACCAATCCTTATCAACCATCTTTAACATAAAGGGCATTAAATCCTGGAGGGTCCTGTAGCTTTCTCTTTGGACCACTCCCCATGTTAGCTCTACCAAGACCCAGCTCTGAAAGATTTACTATTTCAGTGCATAAAAATATAATGTGGCTAAAGGTTCAATAATTGTGCCCAGCACATTATTCTGTTAAATCCCCTTGAGTCTGAGAGCAGAGGGAAAAAAAAAAGCCCATAATTTTAGCGGATTGGAATGTGGCCACTATTACTATCAAAGTTGCATTTCTCCTGCAACTTTAAAGATGGGTGGGCTTCAACTCCCAGATTCTAGGAGTTGAAGTCCACCCATCTTAAAGTTGCCACGGTTGAGAAACACAGCTATAAAAGGAAGACAAGATCCTGGCAAATGTTTTAAACAAATGGGAAGACTATACAAAAACGGGGTTCAAGGTAGCCTCCCCCAATCAGACGCCTTCTGTAAGTTTTTGAGATTGCAACTTGCAAATCGATTAGCTGTCCCTACCTTGGTTCAACTATCTCAGGGATTCTGGTAGGTGGAATTCCAATACGTCTGAAGGGCGCCAGGTTGGGGGGGAAAAATCCATTTTGAATACCGTTATGGCTGAATTTAAGCAACATTGGGGAGTTGTAAGAAGAAGGGGAAAAGACTCGGCTATCTTTATCCCGTCTTCCCAAGGGCTACGTTGGGCTCTTGTCTTAAAATGTGCCCAATGGTGGAAGCAACGAAACTGTGTGCCAGCACTAAATTATTTCAAAAGCAATTTTGGTTATGCAAGTTATCTGTTATTTGTAGTTGGTCTTGTTGATAGTCAAAAGGAAGACAGCTTAAAAAAATAATTAAGTTAGGAGAGAGGTCGCTCTGACATTATTTTAAAAAAATGGATATGGGTATATGCAGAGACACACTTCTCTGTCTACCATCCTCCGAAATTAATGGCGCTGCTCCATTTTTAGGGACACAAAAAAAGTTCAGGAATAATAGCCCTTGGGAGTTCGGGATAAAAGCTGGAAATATTAATGTCCTACATTCAGCAACAGTATTGAAAAAAAAACTTCAGTGTCAGTTGGATTATGCCAAATTCGTGAAGACTTCTTTAACATCAGGGGATTTAAAAAAAAGAAGAAGAGTTTCTAGTGGAATTTGACCAGTAAAAGGCGGAAAAAATGCATAGTTGTTTTGAAACATAACTCTCAACTGCTAAGAACAGGAATTCCTGGGTGGGTGAATGGGTGGGGGAAACATTCTCGTGGAGCCCAAAGAAAGATGGCGGAGGTGAAATTCGGTTTAAGAGAGCACCAGTCTGAATCCTAGAATTGAGCATGGGGAAAAGAAAACGACAGGATCTAAGGAAAGAAGAAAATAAAAAAAAGACCAAATAGAAAGAAAAAAAGAAAAGAGGACAAAACAACTGGATCTCTCCTATCAAAGGAGGCTATGTCAACTGCACCAGCTGGACAGCAGCATTTAAGATATACGTGTGGAGTGTGTCAAGAAAGCACTAAACGCTAAGATGGCGTTTGTCAACCTTGGCTGTTTTTAAGACAGGTAGACTTCCAACTCCCAGAGTTCCTCAGCCAACATGGCTGGCTGGGGAAGTCTGGGAGTTGAAGTCCTTGTGTCAACACGCCCAAGGCTGAGAAATACGGCCTTAAGCGGCCAGTGCTTAAGTGTTGGGACAGACCTTGGTCAATCCAGCTGTGATCTTTGACCGAGGAGTCAAGAAGTCTAGGCCATCAACTCCGGCGAGATGTTGCAAGTTGGTCCATGAAATTGACAAAAGACGCACGGCACTGCCCACCACCAAGGAACCAAGAACGTGCTTCTCTCTTGTGGTACTTCGCTCTAACGTTGCCTTCTCAAGCAAGACCTTGCTTCATTCCGACAATCAATGTTCACCGAGAAGGGTTCCAATGTCTACCACTCAGCCTCGTTCGTCGAGTCCTTAAATTCCTACCGCAGCTCAAAAAACAGGGGCAGCCGCACCCTTCTGGACTTCAAAACAAAACCAATTTCTTTTTAGGAAAAAAGCCAAGGAGAACGCAGGGTTGGCAGAAAAAAAGAAAAACCCGACAAAATAATAATCGTTAAGGAAAGGGAAAAAAAGAGCACGCTAGCACATCAGAGGATCTGATGTGTAAAAAGTTGCCGATTCTTCCCCCCCCCCCTTTTTTTTTGTGGGAACAACTAGGCCAAAAAAACTGTAGAGTTGGCGTTTCTGGGTTTAATTTTCCCATCCTCTACAAGCACGGAGACCAGTGAAACGCCCCCGGGAATCCTCAGTTTTTGAAACGCGTTTGTTCGCAGATGTGATTGAACTTCCTGAAATTAAACAACCCAAGAAGAGAAAAGTTAGTATTTTTTCTTTCTTTCTTTTTTTGGGGGGAGGGAATGTCACATGAAAGAGATTTTCAAACAAAGGAGAAGCAGCTTGACTTCCTAATTAATACCCTCGGGGATGGGGGGGCTCCAAATATTTGGCACCTCTTTTAATTCGTTTCTCCAATTCTAAACCCATTCTGAGCTCGGAATATTTCTGCTAAGACCCGAACAGCTGAAAATGCTTTGCATAGCACCTACTAGTCGTTCTGAGCTTAATAGCTAAAGCCTGCAAAATGAAACAGCCAGGAGGACAGTTTGCCAAGAACTGCCAAGAAATTGGATGGCTAGATGATAGAGAGGGGGAGGGGATAGAGATCGATCGATCAATCAATCAATCGATAGGATATACGATAGGATATAGATAGAAGAGAGAGCGAGAGAGATAGAGCGAGAGATAATAGATCAACAGTGAAATCCGGCTGGATCTATCCGGCTTGCGGGAGCCGGTAGGGCCGGCGACGGGAGGCTCTGCCCACCCGCCGGGATGTCATTATGTCCTCTTTTTGACCCTCTGTGCAGGCGCAGAAGAGGCATGCACGCTCACATTTCTGAACCGGTAGCGAAGGTAAGTGCATTTCACCGCTGTGATAGATGATAAGAGAGATGATATATAGATTGATGATAGTTAGAGATGGATATAGATAATGATAGAATAGAGAGAGATGATAGAGAAGGATAGATGATATGATAGATATAGATAGAGGTGAAATGCTACCGGTTTGGGCCGGTTCTCCCGAACCGGTAGTAAAAAAATATATTAAAAAACTTCTAATGATCAGCTGAGCGACACGCGATCGTCAGAACTTTTTTTTTTTTTTTTACTTTTTAAGCATTTTTTTAGTACCGGTTCTCTGGAAACGGTAGTTAAAAATGCTTTAAAAAGTTTTTTAAAAAAAGTTCTGAATATCGCGCATCGCTCAGCTGATCGTCGGAACTTATTTTTTTTTTTTACTTTTTAAAGCATTTTTTTACTACCGGTTTGGGCGAATACCGTGTTTCCCCGAAAATAAGACCCTGTCTTATATATATATATTTTTCAACCCTGAAATAAGCGCTTGGCCTTATTGCCATGCGCTCAAAAGCCCGATTGGGCTTATTATCAGGGAATGCCTTATTTTGGGGGAGGGAAACAGGGTAGGTAGTAAAAAAAATGCTTTTAAAAAGTTTTAAAAAGGCTCGGACGATTGCGTGGTACAGCTGTGATCGTCCGAGCCTTTTAAAAACTTTTTTAAAGCATTTTTGTTACTACCTATTCGCCCGAACCGGTAGTAAAAAATGCTTTTAAAAAGTTAAAATAAAGGTTCCCAAGATCGCGCGCCACAGCTGATTCCACCCCCCACTCCCCCCAGTTCTACTTACCTTCCCAAGCCTCCTCTTGGCGCGTACAATGCACGTTTGGTGCAAACTGTGCACGCACAAGCACAGCTTCACTCCATGCCCATCAAATTTAATACATTGATTTGAGCTGGATAAAACATATGAGCCACAGAGTTCTCTTCGCTCCAGAAGAGAAAAAAAATCTCTCTCTTTTTGTGTCTGCTACCTACAACCTGTTGTGCAAACGCTGAGCTTGCAAAGGGGCTCACTCACATAGCATGGTGGGCCTTCACCTGAGTGCGACAGTTGCGACCCCAGTAACAGTCGGGACGGGATGTGACAGCGGCTGCAAGACAAAACCCACGCAGAGAGTTCATGCATGGCCGAGGCTGCTCAAAACTCAGGGGGGAATTTGATCTTTGGTGGACTTAATGCGGAAGATTCTTGAAAAGGGGTATCAAAACCGAAACCAGAGACTTTTCCTATAGGACTACTGGACGAGGAACTTGGGGTGGGGAAAAAAAAAACACCGTTATCTGGAACCTTGATAGTACAGTGGTTTAGCGCACCCTGTAATTAACACAGCTGCCTGCAATTACTGCAGGTTCGAATCTTACCAGGCTCAAGGTTGACTCAGCCTTCCATCCTTTCTAAGGTAGGTTAAATGAGGACCCAGTTTGTGGGGGCAATAAGCTGACTTTGTATAAATATACAAAAGGATGAAGGCTATTGCTTAACGCACTGTAAGCCGCCCTGAGTCTCCCGAGAAGGGCGGCATATAAATCAAATTAAAAAACAAAAAAAAAAACAAAAAACAAAAAACAAAAAAAACCCACCTTGTTATGCTATATGTTGACCGCAGCGAGAATTCTGCGCGTGCAAAAATGGAAAGCTGCAGTACAGCTAGTCCTCGGTTTGCGACCATGGGTTTCGCAAACGTTCCAAGTTAAATCTTTGAAAAGGCTAAAGATTAAATCGCTATCCGGAAGCCCCTCCATGTGGAGATGGGTGGTTAGGAATTTTTGATATACGAATAAAATTATAAAACGGCATTGGGAAAAAAAGGGACTTACAAAAAAAGGGTTCTTGCATTTGTGACCGTCATGGCATCCGCCTCAATCAGAAGAGAGCTGGACGGGACCTTGGAGGTCTTCTAGTCCAACCCCCTGCCCAGGCAGGAAACCCTACACCACTCCAGACAAATGGTTATCCAACATCTTCTTAAAGACTTCCAATGTTGGAGCACCCACAACTTCTGGTGGCAAGCTGTTCCACTGGTTAATTGTCCTCACTGTCAGGAATTTTCTCCTTAATTCCAGGTTGCTTCTCTCCTTGATTAGTTTCCATCCATTGTTTCTTGTCCTGCCCTTTGGTGCTTTGGAGAATAATTTGACCCCCCTCTTCTTTGTGGCAGCCCCTCAAATATTGGAATTCTATATCCTGTCACCCCTAATTTCTCTTTTCTCTAAACTAGCCAGACCCAATTCCTGCAACCGTCCTTCATATGTTTTAGCCTCCAGGCCTTTAATCATCTTAGTTGCTCTTCGCACTTTTTCCAAAGTCTCAACGTATTTTTTTTTTTTTTTTGTAATGTGGTGACCAAACCTGGATGCAGTATTACAGGTGTGGCCTTACTAATTCAAGGTAAAGGTAAAGGTTCCCCTCGCACATACTGTATGTGCTAATCGTTCTATTTGCTTTTGTATTTTTGGGGGGAGGAAGGTATTTGTATATCATAAACCAATAAAAGTGGTTAAAAAAGAAAGACTCCCTTGCTCTCTGCAAGGCCCTCTCTTGTTCTCCTGGTTACCTGGCAAATCCGCAGCAGGAATAATCTGCCTGTACTGGTAAGCGAGTTCTCGGAAAGTCCGTAGGCCGCAAAAATAACAGAGCACCGTTTCTCCCGTGATTCGGTAATCTGAAAGAGAAAATTGGGGGGAGGAGGGGGGGGTGTCCCCGGGTTATGAAGAGAATATTCTTTGGAAGAATAAACCTCTCGGAAGAAAATTCAGTAGGTGGTTAATCTCCCTCTGGGGAGCTGGGGTTTAGGAGGTGCCCTTGTGAGCTTGCAAGTATTTGAATACAGGATGACAGAGTTAGAAGGGACCTTGGAGGTCTTCTAGTCCAACGCCCTGCTCAACCAGAAGACCTTATACCAATTCAGATAATGGTTGTCCAATCTCTTCTTAAAAACCTCCAGTGCTCACAACTTCTGAATGCAAGCCTTCCAACTGATTGTTCTAACCGTCAGTAAATTTCTCCTTAATTCTAGGTTGCTTCTCTCCTTGATTAGTTTCCATCCATTGTTGCTTCTTTTCCTGCCTTCAGGTGCTTTGGAGAATAGCTTGACTCCCTCTTCTTTGGGGCAGCCCCTGAGATATTGCAACACTGCCATCATGTCACCCCTAGTCCTCCTTTTCACTAGACTAGATACCCAACTCCTGAAACCGTTCTTCACATTTTAGCCTCCAGTCCCCTAATCATCTTTGTTGCTCTTCTCTGCATTCTTTCTAGAGCTGTGATGGCACAGCCCTCTCTGTGCGCATGCGTGCCATCGGTAGCTATTCTTCTGATTTCTGACATGCGCATGAGCGCCAGCCAGCTGATGTTTGTGGGTGCCAGAGTCCCAGAAACTCAAAAACCAGCTGGCTGGCACGAAACCCAAAGACCAGGTGGTTGGAGGGCACATATGCTGGTATTCGAGTTTCCAGGGCTCCAGCACATGTGTGCCACACACATGTTCCGGTTTGGGCACTCGGTGCCAAAAAGATTCGCCATCACTGTTCTAGAGCTTCCATATCTTTTCTATATCGTGGCGACCAAAACTGGATGCAATATTCCAAGTGCGGCCTTACGCTATAGAGCACTGCACACCAGAACAACTAGACTCAAGGACAGTTTTTTCCCAAATGCCATCACTCTGCTCAACAAATAATTCCCTCAACACTGTCAAACTATTCACTAACTCTGCATTACTATTACTATTAATCTTCTCATCATTCCCATCACCCATCTCCTCCCACTTATGACTGTATGACTGTAACCTTGTTGCTGGTATCCTTAATGATTTATATTGACTGTTTCCTAATATGATTTGATTGCTTATTTGTTCCCTACGACTATCATTAAGTGTTGCACCTTATGATTCTTGACGAATGTATCTTTTCTTTTTATGTTCACCAAAGACAAATTCCTTGTGTGTCCAATCACACTTGGCCAATAGAGAATTCAATCAATTCAATTCAATTCAATTCAATTCAATTCAATTCAATTCAATTCAATTCAATTCAATTCAAAAGTCAAGTCAAGTCAAGTCAAGTCAAGTCAAGTCAAGTCAAGTCAAGTCAAGTCAAGTCAAGTCAAGTCAAGTCAAGTCAAGTCAAGTCAAGTCAAGTCTAGTCTAGTCTAGTCTAGTCTAGTCTAGTCTAGTCTAGTCTAGTCTAGTCTAGTCTAGTCTAGTCTAGTCTAGTCTAGTCCAGTCCAGTCCAGTCCAGTCCAGTCCAGTCCAGACTAGTCTAGTCTATTCTTCCATCCCACCCCATCCCTATTCCTATTCCTATTCTTATTCCAAGTGGCATTAACGCTTGGACTAAAGAAGAAGCAGAATCCAGAAAAAAATGTTTCAGGAATATGTGGCCGGAGGGCTAAATCAAGATTTACCTGGTAAAATAAAAGTTCCTTTTTGAAGAGCTAGGAGGCTTTCGTTCAGCATGTCTTTCCATGTCAATCCCCTCGATTGCAAGTAATCCTAGAAAGAGACAGACAGGTTAAAATGAAAAACCTTCAGAAGAAGTTCAAGCGGAGATTTGAAACGCCTCGGGAAAGCACGAGAAATGAAAGGGACAGTCCTTAAAAACACAGAGTGGAGTTCAGACATTCTTACAAAATGCTATCTCAAAAAAAAAACAACCTCCCCCAAATAATATCAGAATATTCATGAACCGGAATAGAGGCATGGTAACAAGGTCAGCCAATGAATAGGCATAGCAACTAAGTCAGTCAATGAGGGCCGTTTGGAAACTGAGACAGGGAGGAGCCTGGGCGTGGCTCTGTAGCTCTGTCCGCTCTGCTGAGAACTGAAACTCGTCTGTCTGCTCTACTCTGCTGGTGTTTTGCTTGTAACTACCACCACGTTGGAAAATCTGCCATTGGTATTGTACATTTATTCATGTGTTATAGTGTCTATAAAGGGAAGTTAATGAACCCTGTTGAATCTGTGTGTGGTTTCTGGATGCGATTTCTGCAACAAACTCTTGACAAATAACCCCCTGGAACTTTTGCAAACTGTCCATACCTTTAGAATATCTGATTCATAGTTATTGCCGTTAAGAACACCGTCTAAACACTTGTCACCAAGATTGAGCTCTGTTTAAAAAAAAGAAAAGAAAAGAAAGAACATTATTAGTGCCCTTGAAGAGGCTGCAAGATATTTACTGAATTAGGCAGGAGCTCTTAGAATTGAGCTGCGGTTTCCCAAAGCAGATGCTAGATCAGTGATGCCTGATCTTTTTGCCATCGCGTGCCAAAAGCAGACGGGTCGCAGGGGGGGGTCGCGTGCGCACATGCCCACACCCATAATTCTATGTGCCCTGTCCCCTGTGCATGCGACCCCCACATGCTCCTCCCGCTTTTGGCATGCAATGGCCCAGTGGGCCCAGTAGGCCTGTTTTTTGCTCCAGCCTCCAGAGTGCCTTTGGGGGAAGGGAGGCTGTTTTCACCCTCCCCAGGCTCCTAGAAAGGCTCTGGAGCCTGGGGAGAGCAAAAAATGGGCCTTCCCCACCAACCCCTCAGGCCCTCCGGAGGCAGGAAACAGCCTGTTTCCTTACTTCTGGTAGGTCCAGAAGGCTTGAAAATCAGCTGCCCACCGATGCCCACCGATATGTGCCCACCGATATGGCTCCGCGTGCCACCTGTGGCACACGTACCATAGGTTCACCATCACGGTCCTAGATTAAGGAGCAGGGATTCTATTTATTTCATTTAACTAGCTTTATTTACGGAAAAGGCTTACTCGTGGAAGCCAACTGCCTCTTGCAGAAGGCAGGCTGGAGCCCGAGGAGCGGAAGAATATTATCAGAAGCGCCAATAAATTACAACAGGGTTTGGTTTTTGCAAAAGGAAAGAGAGGACGACTGCAAACAAGATCATACCGCAGAATGGGGCTAAACAGCCCAAGCAGGACACACGGACACATCCCCAGTACAGATGGCAGAAGGACTGCAGACAAATGGTACCTGGGAAGACGGAAAGGAAAAAAAGTATATAGATATGCCACTGGCTCATTTTTTCCCCCCCAAAGAAATAACAGCGGACTGAAAAAAAAAAAAACCCTTCAGTCATCAACATTTTTAGGTGGGGCTAGAACTCCCAGTCTCCTGGTGATTGGCCCAAAGTCACCCAGCTGCAAGGGGGGGGGGCTGCTGTGGGTTCGGGAGGACCTCTAGCTAAGATTCTGTGCAATTCGGAGAACCCCCAAATCCCACTCCTGGCTGGCCTTGCCCCCCCCCCGCCCCGGAGTCCCCACGTGGCCCGTTTTGGATGCCAGGTAAGTGCAGGGCCCGAGGGGAGGCGAGGGGAGGGCAAAAAACAGGCCTATTGGAAGTTCAGGAAGGCTGGAAATGGGCCTGTTTCTGGCCTCCGGAGGGCCTCTGGAGCCTGGGGAGGCCATTTCCACTCTCCCGGAGGCTCAACAAAAGCCTCCGGAGCCCGGGGAGGGCAAAAACGATGGTGCAGGATGCCAACTAGGCCATGCCCACCATGGCCATGCCCACCCAGCAACCGGGCAGGGAACCCCTTGCTAAAGTTTTTGAAGCCCACCCCTACCCAGCTGGCTTTTATTATCGCTAAGCCGGGGCTAGAATTCACCATCCCTGACTTTCTAGCTTGGTGCCTTAACCACTAGACCTAACTGAAGATCTGACCACAGATGGAAGAAGAAGCAGAAGGCTTCTACGAAGTTGGGATGACCAGCCATGATGATGTTCAAGACATCTGTTTCTCCTTCAAGTCCATCTGTGGTCAGGCTGAAAGGCCCACGTGTTCCCCAGGGAAGTTCTCTTGCTTACACTGCTGTGGGGCGACGTCCTGGTTCTGTTCCCGGTCTGCTCTACGGTCTGGCATGGGCTGGAAACAGCAAGTGCAGAAGATGTGGCTTCCTTGAGCTGGACAGACATATTCCTGGACTGCTGTGGGAGGAGAAATGACCACCAACATGTCAGGGTAATGAAATTAGCCAATGAAAGGCTAATGCAAGTGTAAAGCTGATGAAATGTAAGGCTGATGCAATGAGAATAAATCAGCAATGGTATAGCCAGCTTAAGACTCTGAAGGGGTCCACAAAAGTTTTTACCACTTTAAGAGGTGTTTATAAATTTCAGCCAGGAGAGGGCATATTCTCTCTCCTTGTGTCCAGTATTTGTTGCCGAGTTCTCCGTGTAGAGTTAAGAAGAAGATTGATTGCTTGTCAGGTATTTGCCAACCATGTATATTTCTGTATGTCTTGTATATAAACCACTGTTAAATGTCTTAGTCTCTGTGTGCTGTGTTTTGCTCCTGGGTTGTCTCCTAATAGTAGTCACGCGGCAAACGCTCTGACACAACAGGTTGTGCAAAACAGTTTCAGATCCACCCACCGATAAAACATTTAACATCACATAGATTAAAAGAGTTGGAAGGGACCTTGTCAGTCATCTAGTCCACAGGTGTCAAACTCAGTTTCATGGAGGGCTGCATCAGGGCTGTGGTTGACCTTGGGGGTGGGGCGGTCGGGCGAGGCTGACTGGGTAGGTGTGGCCAACTGGGTGCGCGTGGCCAACTTGACGCCACTCCACAAACTGCTGGATGTTTCCTCTTCGCACTGGGTAAAGGTAAAGGTACCCGGCGCACATATATGCTAGTCGTTCCCGACTCTAGGGGGCGGTGCTCATCTCTGTTTCAAAGCCGAAGAGCCAGCGCTGTCCGAAGACGTCTCCGTGGTCATGTGGCCAGCATGACTCAACGCCAAAGGCGCACGGAATGCTGTTCCCTTCCCACCAAAGGTGGTCTCTATTTTTCTACTTGCATTTTTTACCTGCTTTCGAACGGCTAGGTTGGCAGAAGCTGGGACAAGTCACGGGAGCTCACCCCTTTACGCGGCACTAGGGATTCGAACCGCTGAACTGCCGACTTTTCGATCGACAAGATCAGCATCTTAACCACTGAGTCCCTTGCTTGCACTGGGTAGACCGGGCCGACACTACGTTGGCCTGATCTTTCCTCTTTGCATTGGTAGAGCAGGATGGCCCTGCGGGATGGATCTGACCACTTTGTGGGCTGCATCTGGCCCACAGGTCTTGTGTTTGACACCCCTGATCTAGTCCAACACCCCGCCTGAGTGGGAAACCCTACACCATCCCCGACAAATGGCAGTCCAATCTCCCCTTGAAAACCTTCAGTGATGAAGCTCCCATGTGAGCCTTGGTGGCGCAGCAGACTAAAGTGCTGTTAAGTAGCACCAGTTGCCTGCAATTACTGCAAGTTCAAATCTCACCAGGCTCAAGGTTGACTCAGCCTTCCATCCTTTCGAGGTAGGTAAAATGAGGACTCGGACTGTGTGGGCAAAACCTGACTTTGTATAAAAAAAAGAACACCGCTTAGGGGGGGCCGAAAGCCCTACTAAGCAGGTATATACAAAAGTATGAAGGCTATTGCTTAACGCATTGTAAGCCGCCCAGAGTCTCCGGAGAAGGGCGGCGTATAAATCGAACCAATAAATAAATAAATGATGAAGCCTCCAGTGATGAAGCTCCCAGTTGCCTCCCAGTTGCAGAAAGCGCATTTCCGTTCTCCACTTCCAATGACTATTTCCAAGAAGGATTATGGGCATCATTGGAGCACACAAATGTTCCAAGACCAGCAATATCAGAAATACTGAGCAGAGGCAGAATAAACAGCACAGGGCCAACCAACCCACATCTCACTTGGGGCATGCAGTAGAAAAACCAGGATTTTTTTCAGGGAAGCCAAGATCTTTGATATGCTCGTGAGAAAGCTACAAGGCCCACCTCGCCTTTTAAACCCCAGGAGATAACACCTGGATGCTCTCACCTGTTGGGAAGTTGGAAGAAGTCGATGGGGAATCTCCAGGAACCTGCCCAGGTTCTGTTTTTCCTTCCTGCTCGGGAAAGGTGAGAGGTGGGACAGTTTGCCGACGATAACCAGGACATTGCCGGCATAAGACATACGGCTGGCTGCAAAGAAGGAGAGTCACGTTCATGAAATTGACAAGGTAATTGCCACAAACCAAGTCCTGATCCAGCCCAAATAGCTTCCGGTCACCTTGAAGTCTAACTGGTTCATTATGGCATTAAGACAATTGACAATGACCATATTTTTCTGACTATAAGATGCAGTTGTCTATAAGACGCACCTAAATTTAGAAGAGGGAAAACAACAACAACAACAACAAAAAGGTTTTGGCCTTCACACACCCAATTTTTGTCCCTTTTTCCAGCCCTTTTCCATTTTTAGGAAAAAAACGGGCTGAAAAAAGCCTCGAAAATGAGCTCAAAAGCCTTAAAACAGGCCCAAAAAAGCCTTGAAAACGGACAGAAAAAAGCCTTGAAAACGGGCCGAAAAAGCCTCAAAAAGGGCAGAAAAAAAGCCTCAAAAATGGGCCAAAAAAGCCCCGAAAATGGGCCAAAAAACCTTGAAAATGGGCCAAAAAAAGCCTTGAAAATGGGCCAAAAAAAGCCTTGAAAATGGGCCAAAAAAAGACCTGAAAAAGGCCTGAAAATGGGGCATGCGGAGGCCAAAAAAACAGCCGGCGGGTGAGTGGGGCGTCAGCAATATTCGGTCTATAAGACGCACAGACATTTTCACCCCCTTTTGGGAGACAAAAAAGTGCGTCTTATAGTCCAAAAAATATGGTAACCAGTGAAACAGCTTGCCTCCAGAAGTTGTGGGTGGCTCCATCACTGGAAGTTTTTAAGAAGAGACTGGATAACCGTTTGTCTGAACTGGTATAGGATCTCCTGCTTGAGCAGGGGGTTAGACTAGAAGATCTCCAAGGTCCCTTCCAACTCTGCTATTTTGTTAACAGCAACTTCAATTGTCATTGTGTGTCTCCTTGTCTGGAAACTCTACAAGGTAGTCCTTGACTTACGACTGGTTGTTAAGAGGCCATTCAAAGTTATGAAAGACCTCCTCAAGTTTATGTAGGACCCAGACTTGAAGTTGTAGTGTCACCGGGTTAAATTTGGGTAGTTGGCATCCCACCGGTATTTATGACGCTTGAAGGTCCCGGCGTTATTTGATCGTCAATTTGCGATCTTCCCAGCCAGCTTAGTACAAGCAAAGTCAATTCGGGAAGCTGTATTTGCGTAGCCATGGTGGCTAAAAAAGATTGTAAAATCGGGGAGTTGTTCATTTAACATCTGCCTCGCTTAGCAATGGAAATTCTCGTCTCAATTGTGGTCATAAGTCAAGGATTATCTCTCTGTGTAAACCTTTTAAGGAAGAGATTAAGGAAATGCAAATAGAGGTGGATAATCAAGTAATTCAGGCCGCCAGACTTTAATTGGACTCTAATTTTCCTTTTATCTCCTCTTCCGAGATCACAAGCCACTCCCTGACATTGCAAAATGGAGAAACCTTCATTTCAATCGGGGACCAACCAACTCATCAAAACTGCCCCACCCCCATTTTCTCAGCCAAGTTTCAGTAAATAGAGGGAATCCCCGACGTATGACCAGAATCGAGCCCAATATTTCTATTGCTAAGTGAGACTGTTGTTAAAGTGATTTTTGCCCCATTTTATATCAGATTAACAGAGTTGGAAGGGACCTTGTAGGTCATCTAGTCCAATCCCCCACCCAAGCAGGAGACCCTGCACCATTTCTGACCGATGGCCGTCCAGTCGCTTCTTGAAAGCCTCCAGTGATGAAGCTCCTACAACTTCTGAAGGCAACGTCTGTTCCACTGGTTGACTGTTCTGTCAGAAAATTACTCCTTATTTCTAGGTTGAATCTCTCCTTGATCAGTTTTCATCCATTGTTCCTTGTCTGGCCTTCGGGTGCCTTGGAAAATAGCTTGACCCCCTTCTCCTCTCTGTGGCAGCCCCTCAAATATTGGAAGACTGCTATCATATCTCCCCTGGTCCTACTCTTCACTAGACCAGCCATGCCCAGTTCCTGCAACCGTTCATTGTATGTTTGAGCCTCCAGTCCCCTCATCATCCTGGTTGCTCTTCTCTGCACTCTTTCTAGAGTCTCACTGGTCTGCAACTGGTTTGCTTAGAGTCAAACGTGTCAGGACCCAAGCCAAGAATGACATGCGGTGGGTGATTCTTCCAAGTTGAGTTCTTCTATTGTTTCGCACCTATAGACGGACTCTTGCCAGGCTTAACTCTTATGACTCTACAATATAGTCTGGGAACTGTTAGGGAGAGGCTGTCTTCACCCTCTTTCTCCCACACATAATATCCAGTTGAATCCACCCCCTCCCTCCACCTCCTCACTGCATCCCATCACATCTAGAGAAACCTGCAGAAGATATAGACTTGCTATCATGTCTCCCTGGTCCTTCTCTTCACTAGACTAGCCATGCCCAGTTCCTTTCTTGCCACCTTGTTAAGTCAAATCAGTGCAGTTCTTAGTAACCGCAGTGATTAAGTGGCTTCCCCATTGATTGTTGCTTATCAGAAAGTCACAAAGAGTCTGCTGCGCCACCAAGAGCCTTGGTGGCGCAGACTAAAGTGCTGTTAAGTAGCACCAGCTGCCTGCAATTACTGCAACTTCAAATCTCACCAGGCTCAAGGTTGACTCAGCCTTCCATCCTTCCGAGGTAGGTAAAATGAGGACCCGGATTGTGGGAGCAATAAGCTGACTTTGTATAAAAAAGAACACCGCTTGGGGGGGGCGAAAGCCCTACTAAGCAGGTATATACAAAAGTATGAAGGCTGTTGCTTAACGCATTGTAAGCCGCCCTGAGTCTCCGGAGAAGGGCGGCATATAAATCGAACTAATAAATAAATAAATAAATAATAAAAGGGGATCACAACAAGGTCACCAATGTTGAACCCGGGACACTGCCACCGTCATAAATACGAGTCAGTTGCCAAGCGTCTTTAAATTCTGTTCAAATTCTGTTTAAATTCTTTAAATTCTGTGACCAGGGGGGAATGCTACGCCGGTATGAAAAAAAAGTCACCATTCATTTTTTTTCAGGATCGTCCTAACTTTGAACGGGAACTAAATGAACTGTTAGAAATCAAGGACTACCTGTTTTGCTTTTATGAAAATTGTTTACAAATTTGAGAACATCAGCCTGAAGTGAGCCTGGCTGAGGCCAGCTTGGAGGCTTCGGTGTTGGCACACTGGTGAAAAGAGGATAGAGAGTGGGGAGGGAATAGAGATAGCTGGGGGTTTGTAGCCAAAACAAAAGAGTTTCTCCTGTGAACCAAGGACATTCCAACAGCTGGCTGGAGAGAGGAGGAGGAGAGAAATAACCAGGCAACTGGCCAGCACCTAGATCGGACAATGTGACTTATTGTTTGGAGGAAGGGAAAACTTTACTTTTTAATTTCTGACTTCATTTACTTCAAATTTCTAGGTTCTATCATATCTCAAGACCTAAAATGGACACCTAACATCAAAAACGTCATCAGAAAAGCTCAACAGAGAATATTCTTTCTGCGCCAACTTAGGAAGCTCAAACAGCCCCAGGAGCTGCTGATCCAGTTCTACAGAGGAATGACTGAGTCTGTCATCTGCACCTCTATAACTGTCTGGTTTGGTTCTGCAACCCAACAAGACAGACACCGACTTCAGATGATAATTAGAACTGCAGAAAAAAACATGGCTACCAACCTGCCTTCCATGGAGGATCTGTATATTGCACGAGTCAAAAAGAGGGCTGTGAAAATATCGACAGACCCCTCGCATCCTGGACATAAACTCTTTCAACTCCTACCCTCAAAACGACACTATAGAGCACTGCACACCAGAACTACTAGACACAAGGACAGTTTTTTCCTCCCGAACGCATCACTCTGCTCAACAACTAATTCCCTCAACACTGCCAAATTATTCACTAACTCTGCATTACTATTACTATTAATCTTCTCATCGTTCCCATCACCCATCTCCTCCCACTTATGACTGTATCACTGTAACTTTATTGCTTGTATCCTTACGATTTATATTGACCGTTTCCTAGTATGATTTGATTGCATATTTGTTCCCTATGACTATCATTAAGTGTTGTACCTTATGTTCTTGACGAATGTATCTTTTCTTTTTATGTACACTGAGAACTTATGCACCAAAGACAAATTCCTGGTGTGTCCAATCACATTTGGCCAATAAAGAATTCTAATAATTCTAATTCTAATTCATTCTATTCTTTTCTTTTCTTTTCTTTTTTTTCCTATTCCTATTCCTATTCCTATTCTATTTTATTCTATTCTATAAGTGAAAACTGTGGGGACTCTCAGAGTTGGTTTCCAGCAGTCTGTGTTAATATGTTATCTCCAGATAAAACTGTTCTTTGAGGAATCTACCTGCCTTGGAGTTCTGTTTGCGATGGGTGTATTACTTGGATCCCTGACACCTGGGTTGTAAGGCAACCCACCCAAACATATCCACTGCCCATACGAGCTTTTTACCTAATATCAGAGGATTCACTGTCTACATCTGACAGATCCAGCAGGTCTTCTGAACTTCCTTCTTCATCTGAAAAAGATCTTCGAACCTTCGGCTGTAGCATGTCCTGAGTGATTTTGTTCCGGGCATCCATACTTCTAATGTCTTCTTCGTTACGACATTTATCTAGAAAGATTAAAAAAAATAGACTTCTGTTATGGTCGAGATGCGGATCATAGAACTGTTGCTTATTTTCAAAAGTATTTTTTTTCAAAAGGCAACTGGACTTTTGGTTTTTAGAATAGAATAGAACAGGGGTCTCCAACCTTGGCAACGTTAAGACTTGTGGACTTCAGCTTCCAGAATTTCTCATCCAGCTTTGCTTTTCTGGCTGAGTAATTGTGGGAGTTGAGGTCCACAAGTCTTAAAGTTGCCAAGATTGGAGACCTCTGGAATAGAATAACAGAGTTGGAAGGGGCCTTGGAGATCTTCTAGTCCAACCCCCTGCTTAGGCAGGAAACCCTACACCACTTCAGACAAGTGGTTATCCAACATCTTCTTAAAAACTTCCAGTATTGGAGCATTTATTTTCCCTGAAGGCATTTCGCTTCTCAGCCAAGAAGATTCTTCAGTTTCTGACAGAACGGTGGAGGATGGAAGGATTGATAATCCTTGCAGACATCTGGTCATTAGTACTCTTTCTGAGAGTCATTGAGGCCACTTGGAGGATTATATGTGTCCTCAGGGTCACCTGAATAGTGCAAATGAGTGTGGAAACTTCTTGGAACTGCTGAAAAGATTGTGTTGTAAACGCAGAAGGCTCTACACCCATTTGCGCTACTCGGGTAACTGTGAGGACACAAATAAACCTCCAAGTGACCTCAACGACTCTCTAAAAGAACGCAAATGATCAACTGTCTGCAAGAAATATAAATCCTTCTGTTCCCCACCATCCTGTCAGAGCTGAAGAAGCTTCTTGGATGAGAAGCGAAATGCCTTCAAAGGAAAACAAGAAAGTCCATCTTTGGGACAACTATGACCTGGATGTCTGAAAATCTCCATAGAAAAACTGTTGTTTAGGATCTCAATGGCACTTCCTCAGGATTAAGTCCCAAAGCAGCTCATTATTTCAATAACTTGAAAAGGTACCAAAATGCCCCCCGATTCATGCCTGGTCCTCACACTTATGACCATCACCATGTCCTCATAGTCGTATGATCAAACTTGGGTGCTTGGCAACCTACCTGTACTTATGACGGTTGCAATGTCCTGGGGTCAGGAGGAAATTTGTGCCCTTCCCAACGAAGTCAATGGAGGAAGCCAGATCGGCTTAACAACTGCATGATTCGCTTAACAACCAGGGGCCTTAAATTTGGGTACAACTGCCTTTCTTAGCAACAGAGATCTTCTATCCAATTGTCATAGGTTGAGGACTATCTGAAGTTGATTTGCTGGAATTCTTTTGCAAATTGTTCCTACTTTCATCTTAACAAATCTTGTTAAAGAAAACTCTTGAGATGTATACTGGGAAAAATTACTTTTGGTTCGGGCAGCTATCAATAGCTTAATACAGACAGTCCTCGACTTACAACAGTTCATTTGGTGACCATTCAAAGTTATGACAACACTGAAAAAAGTGACTTATGACCATTTTTCACATTTATGACCTTGGGGCATCCCTGTGGTCATGCGATTTACAGTCAGATGTAAATGACAACTGGCTCACATTTAAAAATGGTTGCAGTGTCCAAAGTCTCATTTGATCCCTTTTTGTGACCTTCTGATGAGTAAAATCAATGGGGAAAAGCCAAGTTCATTTAACGATGGTGTTACTAATTTAACAACTGAAGTGATTCAGTTAACAGAAGCAAGAAAAGTCACGAAATGGGGGCAAAACTAACTTAACGAATTTCTCACTTGGCAATGTAAAATTTTGGGGGCTCATTTGTGGGTCGTAAGTAGAGGACAACCTGTAGTCCATTCCCAAAGTATTCCCAATTTTCCTTTTTTCGTCTGTACATCACCCTACTACGTCCATGCAATGTTGAATTGTGAACGAAAAAAAAAAGTATTTTTTAACGACAAGAACGCTTGCAGAGATTCTGCGTTCCTCACATGCCTGGGTGTTGGATGAGATACGCTTCCACCAAGTTGTTCAAAATGTGATTTTTACAGATCCGTTCCACGGGACAGCGGCACGTCGGACAGAGGGAAGATCGCTCCATCCACCCTGAGTAGCAAGCGGCACAGAAAGTATGCATACAGGGCTGCAAACTAAAGACAGGCAGGAAGATGGAGGGGGAGAAACAAAAAAAAAAAAGATGGATGAATTGAAGTAGGACCCAGTCTAAACCTTGGGAGACAGGAAGAAAATTTTCCTGCCTCAGGTGGAAGGCCTCCTTCTGTCTCCCAAGGTCGTCCCCATAGACCATTCAAAGCAAATCACCCATATTTCAAAATTCAAAAATCAACTTATCTGTTTTTTAAAAAACAAATCTGGGAAATTGGTACTCACTGCTGACTTACATGTTCATCAAGGTTCATGTCATGGCCATGTACAATGGACTGTGTATTTAATTTAACCCTTCCAGGTTTCCTCTCCTCTCCTCTCCTCCCCCTCCCCATTCTACTCTACTCTACTCTACTCTACTCTACCTCTACTCTATCTCTACCTCTATCCTACTCTACCCTACTCTATTCTACCCTACCTTACCCTACTCTAATTCTCACAACCAAAATACACACGTGGTTCAGAAGGTCTGGAGCTTTCTTTCTTGTCTCGTCCCTACCCATTTTAACTGGAGGCATCTTGGTCCAACACTTTAACCACTACGCCACGTTGGCTCTCACAACGTGGCTGATATATAACTTGGTGGTCCATTGGCTGAGCCAGAAGGCCCGTTTCAGAATGTTCCATGGCTCAAGGCATGGGACTGATGCAACAAGGGAGAAGGACTATGAAGTTGCCACAGAGCCATGGAGCATTGGAACAGTTGGGTGGGAAATTTTGAGTTTCAGGGGGGAAAAAAGACCCTACAGAAAGTGAGGTGAGGAACCTAAGGGAGCTAAAAGGAGAAGGATCAAGGACCTAAACTGGACATATAGTCCAAGTGAAGAAAGAGGGGGATAACTGCTGATACGATGGGAGTCCTCAAGGAAAGTCAAAACAACCTCTGTGTGCAAATTTTAAGCCTTGATTAGAAGTTGAGAACTTGTGGCATTCCAAATATGGCTGGGCTACTACTACAGTCTTCTCCATTCAGCCTGCTTCTTCCAGACTCTGAGAGTTGTGATTCAGCAACATTCAGAAGTCACAGGTTGCTTTGCTTTAGACCTCAGCAAGCAGCATTTGGCTTCCTAAGCTCTATGGTCACCAGGTGACTCGGGAAACCTGACTGGTTGTTCCCAAGAAACATGAGTTCCACTTCTTGAGTTGAACCAGCTCGACGCTTCTTGAGTTGAAACAACTTGACACTTCTTGAGTTCAACCAACTCAATGGTTCTTGAGTTGAATCAACTCGACGCTTCTTGAGTTGAATCAACTCGACGCTTCTTGAGTTGAATCAACTCGACGCTTCTTGAGTTGAATCAATTTGACGCTTTTAAGTTGAATCAACTTGACGCTTCTTGAGTTGAATCAACATTTGGCTCTTGGGCTTCAAGAGGCAAGCAGGGCAACCCTGTTTCAATCACATTCAATGGCTACAAAGGTGAGGTATGACCAAGGTTCTCAACTGTCTTTCTCACAGTACTACTACTTCTCTTCGAAGTCCTACTGTAGAGAAAATGAGCTAGTTCAGCATTTTCCCTCCATCGAACCTTCTTCGCTTTATGTTTTCCACCAGACATACGTTCTCCAGCGAGCCACCAGCTCATATGGACTACTCCCTTCTCTCTTAATCAACCTACAATCACTGTCCATTCACCCGTACCTGACACAGTCATGAAGCAATTCCTGGCAGATGATGCAGCTCAGGCTTTCTCCCATTTTGTCAGGCTTCATGGTTGCTGATTTGGCATCTCCAGGGTCAGGTTTCATTGCGTGTCCCTCTGGGGTGACCACCTGAAGGGCAGAGCTGGCTTCACCATCTGCAAGAGAGGTTCTTATGTCACATTGGGAAAGGCATGTAGAGGAAAAGACAGCATGGAACCCAACACATTGTTGCTCAACAATCAAGAGGTTGAGTGTTGGCCACAGAAATGAGAGCAGCTCTTTAATGTTCACAACCCCGGATTAGTCAGTGGAATAGCTTGTCTTTCAGATATGTGGGTGCTCATCACTGGAGGTTGTCCAAAATAGGCCATTTGACTGGGATAGTATAAGGTCTACTCCCTTGAGCAGGAGGTTGGGATAGAAGACCTCCAAGATCCTTATGATTCTATGTTCCATATTCTAAGGGCTGTGTATTGTGGCCCGCCAGCTGCCAACGGAGCTGGCGGCAGACTTGGACGATGAGGAGGTTGAGGAGGAACTTGGGCCAGTTCTGGAGTCTGGGGAAGTCTCTGATGGATACTCTGCATTGGATGCAGAGATAGAGCCAGGGACGTCCGACATTTCTCAAGCTACTGGAGAGGCAGCTGCCTTTGGAGGCAGAGATGAGTGAGGAGGAAGAACAGCTGGGGCCTGTTCCAGATGCACGTATGCGCAGAGCAGTTAGGAGAGGTGAACAATGGAGGACAAGGAGTCGACTCGGGAAGCAAAGCACACGTGGACGCCGAATGGTCCCTCCCTGGCTGGGGAATAAATAGAAGGAAAGGGGAGCGGTGGTCGTAGGAGACAACCGTTCGGATTTCGGAAGATTTGGCTCATCGTGTTTCGTGCCTCAGAGATTGCTTGCCAGAACTTAATTTACAGCTTTGCAGCAGCAACTGATAAGGTCTGTTACTACAATTAACTCTTCGAAGGATTATTGCCTGGACTTTTCGGTGTGTAAATGCCATTAAGTCATAGGAGATAAATAGAGTTTTTTCGGGACAATGAGTCTGTTTCTTTCTTGTTTCTGCTAAGGCTGGGTCAGAACAGTATGATCTTAGCTGCTGTTAAGAAGGTATCAAATCTCTCCCTGCAGAACACAAAAAAACTTTGCCATATACCAACCTCTTCTGATTTTCTTCCTAACAGGGTAGGGTGAATCTTTTCCTTCCCTTTCCGAAAGCTGGAACATGGCTGTTTTCTCTGCGTCCCTCAAAGAAGCACCAGAAGTTTCTGAATTTACAACAGGCTGCCTGAGTTGAAGCAATGTCTCTGGTCCGGATGGTACCAATTTGAGCAAAGCGGGTGCAAAAATTAAGGTGCGAGGCTGGGATCCTGCAATCATGGAAAGAATGATCACGGTGAAGGATCTTTGGACTCAACCAAATGACTCTGGAGCAGGGGTCACCAAGTTTGGCCACATTAAGGCTTGTGGACGTCAACTCCCAGAATTCCCCAGGCAGCACAGCTGGCTGAGGAATTCTGGGAGTTGAAGTCTACAAGTCTTAAAGTTCTCAAGTTTGAAGATCGCTGCTCTGGAGGAACAGTTCCCGTTCTTGACTTCTTCAGCCAATCCGAAAGGTGCTTTTTCAGGAAGCAACTGGACTTCTTTTGAAGACATTTCGCTTCTCATCCAAGAAGCGTCTTCAACTCTGACAGGAGAGTGGGGAATGGAAGGATGAACCCCCTTTGAATGGTGTGGGAGTAGGAATGGATTTCCAGAGGAAAAATTGCAGACTACAGAAATCATTTGCACTACTCAGGTGACCCTGAGGACACAAATAAACCTCCAAGTTGCCTCAATGACCCTCTCAAAGGATGCAAATGACCAGCTGTCTGCAAGGTATATAAATCCTTCCATTCCCCCAGCATCCGGTCAGAGCTGAAGAAGCTTCTTGGATGAGAAGTGAAGCATCATCAAAAGAAAAACCAAGAAAGTCCAGTTGCCTCTTGAAAAAAGCACTTTTGGGACAACCATGACTTGGTACTGAGAATCTCTACAGATTTCCTGAGCCAATCTTTGTCTATTCATCCCCTTCCACCTCCAGCAATACTATGGTCACCCTTCAAAGGATGATTCAACCTTTGGGCCAAAGAGGCTCAACCTTTACCAACTACTGAAGGGTCCGTCTTCTCAGTGGATGTGGACTCAAAGGGAGAGGTAGGAACGATTTCGAAGAGGTTTGACGTCGAAGTGGATGGCTGCGGTTCTTCGTAGCTTGTCCGAGAAGCTGGCGGCGGGAATGCTGTTGAGGTCCCATCATTGCTTTCTCTGGTGCTTGAGGTATCTTTGGTTGTGTGGCATGCACCGTCAAGCTTGGCTTCTGGAGATGGAGAGAGGGAGAGCGTGACCTCAACTTCAACGGATAATTGCAGAAAAAACCATGGCTACCAACCTGCCTTCCATGGAGGACCTGTATACTGCAGGAGTCAAAAAGAAGGCTGTGAAAATATCTACAGACCCCTCGCATCCTGGACATAAGTTGTTTCAATTTCTACCCTCAAAATGACGCTATACAGCACTGCACGCCAGAACAACTAGACACAAGGACAGTTTTTTTCCCAAATACCATCCCTCTGCTTAACAACTAATTCCCACACTGTCAAATAATTTACTAAGTCTGCATTACTATTACCATTAATCTTCTCATCGTTCCTATCACCCATCTCCTCCCACTTATGACTATAACCATGTTGCTTTAATCTTTCAATTTATATTGTTTTTTGTTTCCTAGTACGATTTGATAGCTTATTAGTAACCTTGACTATCACTAAGTGTTGCATCTTTTTATTCTCGATGAATTTATTTTATTCTCCTTATGTACACTGAGAGCATATACACCAAAGACAAATTCCTTGTGTGCCCAATCACACTTGGCCAATAAAATTCTATTATATTGTATTGTATTGTATTGTAGTATTGTATTCTATTGTATTGTATTCTATTCTATTCTTCTCTTCCTTACTAGTATCTATCTCTTCCCACTTATTACTATAACCATGTTGCTTGTATCTTTCAATTTATATTGTTTTTATTTGTTTCCTAGTATGATTTAGAATAGAATAGAAACTATCACTAAGTGTTGTATTTTTTGTTCTTGATGAGCGTATCTTTTCTTTTATGTACACTGAAAGCATATACATCAAAGACAAATTCCTTGTGTGTCCAATCACACTTGGCCAATAAAGAATTCTATTCTAAACAACAACAACAACAAGGCCAGGAGAGCTGCGAAGAACTGAAATGTCTCCTTGGTAGAGGTCCATGGCTCAATTTCTTCCGTGCAACTTTAACTCACCTCCTGGATCGTTAGCTCCATCCTTTTTGGGATGCAAAGATTCGTACAGGTATGCAACGTCTGAAAGAAGAGAAGATGGTTGAACTCAACAGAGCAAAGGAAGATGGCCCTCCTTAAAGGTTGTGGGTGCCCCATCGCTGGAGGTTTTTAAGAAGAGTTTGGACAACCGTTTGTCTCCTGCCTGAGCAGGGGGGTGGGCTAGAAGACCTCCAAGGTCCCTTCCGACTCCCGTTATTCCATTTTAAACCCTTTAAAGAGCAAACGAGTAAGTCTCATCATCGCATTAAGCCCAATAAAGACCTTCATCCGAGCACACCAAAAATCTATGAAGATCCCATGACCAGGACTGATAATATCGTGTTGAACGGTAACCAAGAATTTGGTTAACTTGAATTTGACGCAAATGTTAGAAACCAGAGACGTTGAGCAATGTCCATTGTTTTACTTTTAAAACTAATAAAATATTTAATTAATTAAAAAAAAAAAGAATTTGGTTAAGTGTCGAGACTTCATGGGTCAACAGTCAAAGCAGTTGGGCTGGCCAATTGGTTCTCCCCTAGACTCTTTGGACTCCAACTCCCATTGACCACATTAACTGGGCTGAGAGGAGTCAGTCGAAGTCCAGAGGGCTCCTTCAACTCCCAGAGTTCCTCAGCCAGCAAAGCTCGCGGACTTCAAAACTCCCAGAGTTCCTCAGCCAGTAAAGCTCGCGGACTTCAACTCCCAGAGTTCCTCAGCCAGTAAAGCTCGCGGACTTCAACTCCCAGAGTTCCTCAGCCAGCAAAGCTCGCGGACTTCAACTCCCAGAATTGAAAACTGGCTTAGGAACTCTGCGAGTTGAAGTCCACAAATCTTAAAAGTTGCCAAGGTTGGAGACCCCTGCCTTATTGTATAAACCTGTTAAAGGGGGCGGAATTAAGACTCTCTTACTGTTTTCGGGATCGTATTTCCTGTAAACAACATAGATCACGTCTCCAGTTTGCAAAGGGCAGGTCTGTCTCTTCACCACTTTCTGTTTATTGATCACTGTTCCGTTAGTGCTGGAGAGGGAGGCAAGAAACACAGGTGGGATCAAGACAGAATTGTCTATTGGCCCTTGTGCGATTGGACATGCAAGGAATTTGTCTTCCGTGCATAAGCTCTCATTGTGCATAAAAGCTGTAAGTGGTAAGTCACAACCATAGTCGTCATAAAGGTGATAATGATCATCCTAAAATGGCCATCCGTCTCCTTTCTACCACTGCTGACGTAGGTTTAAGGCCACCGCAACTTACAACAGTTCATTTAGTGATACAGCAACGTATAGATTTAAAACAGAGGTCTTCAAACTTGGCAGCTTTAAGACTTGTGGACTTCAACTCCCAGAATTCTCCAGCCAGCATAGAAGTCCACAAGTCTTAAACCTGCCAAGTTTGAAGACCTCTGATTTAAAACCAGAGCTATTCCTATTGGGTATCTTACCAGAGAAAACTAGTAAAGATAATATATATCTGATTATACATGTAATAACAACAGCAAGGATTGTTTATGCACAAAAGTGGAAAGCAGAGAATATACCTTCGGAGGGAGAAATCATTAAAAAAAAATCTTAGATTGCGCAGAAATGAATAGATTAACTATGATGATAAAAGAAAGAGACGATACAGAATATTTTAAGATATGGAATAAATCTTACTATTGGTTAGAAGAGAGATACAAATAAGTTTTTGAGAGAGATTTAAAAAAAAATTGGTTGTAATCAGAATAATATATTAGTGGAAAATCTTTTGTAATGGATTGGGTGAGATTGAAGATAGAAGAAGAGAGAAGAAAACTTTTGAAGGTAACACCGAAATGTCACATGGAAGAAATGAATGATGTACTAAATGTTTGTCTTAAAAAAATAAAAATAAAAATAAATAAATAAATAAAAAAAAAACCCAGTTCATTTAGTGACGATTCAAAGTTACAATGGCATTGAAAAAAGGGACTTAGGACCAGAGGTGGGATTCAGCCGGTTCGGGCGAATGGATAGTTACGACCAGCGGCTGGGCCACCCACACACCTTGGCGCTATCTCGTCTTATACAATCACATTTTTGACGCAGTGCACATGTATGAGCGAAGCTATCCTGTCCTATACAATCGCCATTTTTTTGACACAAGTGTGCAGGTAGGGAAGGCCGCACCTGCACAAGCACGCTCACATTTTCGATTCTGGGCGAATCGGTTGTTAAATTATGTGAAGCCCACTCTCTGCTTAGGCCCATTTTTCACCCTTACGACCATTATGGCGTCCCCATGGTTAGGAGATCAAAATTCAGACACTGGCTCCTATTTTTTGACAATTGCCATGTCCCCAGGTCTCCTGCTGTTTTTCAGGCTTAGGACCTTTGTAGCCTTCCCTAAGATCATGTGATCAAAATTCAAAAGCTTGACAATTAGACTCATATTTATGACGGTGGCAGTGTCCTCTCTGTGTGTGTGTGTGTGTGTGTGTGTGTGTGTCACCTTTTGCAACCTTCTGGCAAGCAAAGTCCATGGCGGAAGCCAGATTCAGTTAACAACCGGGTCCCTGACTTAACCACTGCAGGGATTTAGTTAACAATTGTGGCAAGAGAGGTCGTAAAATGGGGCAAAGCTCTCTTAACAACCGTCTCGCTTAGCAGCTGAAACGTTGGGCTCAGTAGTGGGATTCTACCGGTTCGCCCTGGTTCGGGCAAATCGGTAGCGATGGCAGCAGGAAGCTCCACCCACCCGCCCAAATGTCATCACAGACACTCTGTGCATGCGCAGAAGCACTGGATGCGAGCAAAGCGAGCGCTCAACGCTCACAGTTCCGAACCAGTAACGAAGGTAAGGGAAACCCACTATCGGTTGGGTTCAACTGTTCGTTTCTGAAGAAAAATCAAGCCTTACGAAAGAGACACCCAAGAAATATTCGTGGCTGAATAAAAAATAAAAAGGTTGATTGTTGATAAAGGAGAAAATAATTTATATGTTTTCTTTTCTTTACTATATTAACTGTTTTTTCTTTCTTTTCTCTGTTTTATTTTCTACATGAAGGATTTTTTTTTTAGTTTGTATTAGATGAATTTTTAAAATAAAGTTATTATTAAGAAAAGAAAACATGCAAGGCAGAGATGACATTAAAATTTAATAATACCAAAAAAAAAGAAAAAGAAAAGGAAATATTCATTTTCACCCACAAAATCACAGAAAAAGGATTAAGAATGGCGCACTGACCTGGTATCCTGTAGCAAAACCTGACCGGATTTTTCATCCACTGTTATTTTACAGTGATAGCCAGACACCAGTTTATTGCCAGGAAAGGATAAGTCACAACCTTGGAAAGAGAGAGAGAGAGAAAGATAGAGGGGGGGAAAAAAGAACATTGCTAAATTTGCTAATTTCACCTAAACTCTCAACAAAGTCTTGTGCCATTTCTCCCCAATACCCCCACAATTTTGCACATAATTTCATAACGGAAGGGCAGTTATGTTAGTTTTTTACGAGGGCAAGGCTAGAGTTTTGGGCACCTTTTTTTCTGCCAATGGTCCACTCGTTTTTCTGCAGCAAGACATGGGGCTCGGCTTGTTCCACCCCCAACCGGATCAGCTTCCCCCATGGTTGAGGCTTTCCGATGGGTTGTATGCACCCTCCGAGGTCCATGTGCTCCATCTGGACTTCACATCTGCAAAGGGAAGGGAAGAAATACATCGATGCAGGGGGGGGGGTGATCTGACCTAGGCTTCCTTAGAAAGGATGCAGAACAAACTTCATCCTGGCAAACCAGGACTTTAATTCAAACGGCTGTGGATTATTGTCATTCCCAGTCCGAAAGGCTTCTCAAACAGTCTATCAGGGAAGGGTTTACAAACACCCACCTTATCTCCCTTGGAATGCTGCCAGAGAACTAATTGCCACACGCAGGGCAAGGCCAAACTTAGCACAGAGTCAAACAGAGCTTTTCCAAGAGCATAAACCGACCAGATGAACTAACTGCTTCCTGCAAAAGCTCACATCCCGTTCGCTCCTCTTTATGTCTTATGGGAGGGGCCAATCATCACCAAGCCTTACTCCCATGTCGACCCTGTTTTCTTAATTGTTCTTGTCTCCTGGCAGCTCTGTGCATGCACACATTGGGAACAGGCTCCCGCTGTTCTTCTGCCTCGCTGATGTCAGACTCCGGAGGCAGCAAAGAACTACCAGATGGCCTTGGCCCCCTCTCTGCCTCCCACGCAGAGCCCTCGTCCGAGCCTTCCCCAGACTCCAGGACTGGCTCACGTTCCTCCCCAACCTCTTCACTGTCCGAATCTGCTGCCAGCTCTGCTGGCCGCTGGCGGGCCACAACAGTGGGTTAACAACAGCTCTAAATGCGGTTGAAAAATTGAGCTTGGTGGGGAGGGTGTTCAATTGTTTGTAAGCAGCCCAGACCCATATATATGGGAGGGGTAGTTTGATACACATTTGGAAATATATACATTAAACATTTCCCTTCTCAGAATTATGGGTGATTTGTGTCTTTGTCTCAGGTCCTCTATCAGTGGCTGGGGGTTTGAGGGTTCTGCGCAGGTTTCTGACCAATTCCTAATCTTGCTCACTTTCAAACATAATTGCTCTCAGAATTATATTCTCGCATAATTACATTTACGTGATATTATAAATATAGGATGAAACTATCTCACCACTGCATTTTTATCCTGCCTTTTATACAAAGACACAGATATATGGCCCACTCAAGGCAGCAAATATGCCTAACGCTATCTGTCCATTTTCTCCACTACAGTGGAGATGAAAGTGGGCCCAGCTTTTATATTTTATATGCGTACACAACACACACAACTCAGGCACAACTCCCCACACACATACATATGCAACACACGTTCGTCTGGGAAAAGAAATGACTTTGCACGGATCCAGCTAAGGAAACCCTGTCCCCATATTCCTCAGTTGCACTGGCTCCTCTCTACATCCCTTTGCACACTTCCACACTAGACTCCTTCTCTTTGCACGTGTGTGCATACACACACACAAACACACACGCTTGGGAAAAGAAATGACTACTAAGGAAGCCCCCTTCCTGATATTCCTCACTTGCCCTGGCTCTTCCACATCCCTTTGCACATTTGCGCAAACATCCTCCTCCCTTTGCACGTGTGCATACACACACATAAATGCTTGGGAAAAGAAATGCCTTTGCTAAGGAAGCCAACTTCCTGATATTCCTCAGCTGCATTGGCTCTTCCACATCCTTTTGCACACTCGTCCCCCCTCCCTTTGCATGTGTGTGCATACACATACACACAAACACAAATGCTTGGGAAAAGAAATGCTAAGGAAGCCCCGTCCCCATATTCCTCAGCTGCACTGGCTCTTCCACATCCTTTTGCACACTCGTCCCCCCTCCCTTTGCATGTGTGTGCATACACATACACACAAACACAAATGCTTGGGAAAAGAAATGCTAAGGAAGAAGCCCCGTCCCCATATTCCTCAGCTGCACTGGCTCTTCCACATCCCTTTGCACATTTGCACACTCATCTCCTTCCCTTTGCATGTGTGTGAATGCACACACGCACACACAAATGCTTGGGAAAAGAAATGCCTTTGCTAAGGAAGCCCCCTTCCTGATATTCCTCAGCTGCATTGGCTCTTCCACAGCCCTTTGCACATTTGCACACTAGTCTCCTTCCCTTTGCACACTTTGCACGCCCTCCCCGGCCGCCTGCACCGCCTTTCGCAAGCCCAGCTCGGCCCCCTCTTTCCAGGCAGGGGCCCCTACGAGTGGGCTGCCCTCCCCCTCCCCGCCCCTTCTAAGGGGGGGTCTTGCTCCTCCCCCGCCCCTCCCCTCCCCAGCCGGGCCTCCCTGACCCGCAAAGCCCCTGCTGGCTGTGGATGCTGGGACCTGTAGTCCTGCCCCACGGGGAAGCGGGGGCGCCCGGTCGGAGCCTCCCCCGCCCGGCGTCTTCCGCCTTGGAAGCGGTTGCTGGAGAGCAGCCCGAGGGAGCCTCGCCGCTCACGCCGCCCGGGAAGCCGCCGCCGCTGTCAACACACCCGGCCAGCCCTCAGCTGATCCGGAGGGGCGGGGCCAGGGGCGGGCACTCGACGCTGATTGGCCGGCGGGGCTGCGCGGCGCCGGCGGGGGGTGGATGGGTGGGGGCGGGGAAAGGAAGCGTCGGCGTCGAGGTGCGCGAGGCGGCGGCTAGAGCGTCCCGCGAGGGCCATAGAGGGGGAGCTAGAGCGGCGTGCTTTGGGCGGGGACACGTGCTTGGGCGAACCAGCTGGTAGATAGCTATATAGATATAATTACATACATACATATATATATGATATATAGCTATATAAGTAATTATATCTATCTCTTATATCTATAATCTATATCTTTTATATATCTATCTATATCTATATCTATATCTATATCTATAAATAATTATATAGCTCTGATGGGATAAATGATTTTAATTTGGTTTTAATGGGGTTTTAAAATTGGTTTTAAAATGAGAGTTTTAAATTCGGCCCATGATTTAATTATTTTAATCTGCTTTTAAATTCTATTTTGTACATTGTTTTTATTATGGCTGTACACCACCCTGAGTCCTTCGGGAGAAAATAAAATAAAATAAAATCAATCAATCAATCAATTAATCTCTCTCTCTCTCTCTATATATATATATGTATATATATGTATATGTATATATATATATATGTAATTATATCTATCTTATATATATATATAGTTATATAAGTAGTTATATCTCTATCAGTATCTTTTATATAGATATATAATTACCTATATAGGTAAAAAAACCATACGCATATAGAAACCCACACATATACACACACACACACACACACACAATATATATACACACAAATTATATCTATATTATAGTGTGTATCTATGTGTGTATATATAACATAACATTAACAGAGTTGGGAGGGAACCTTGGAGGTCATCTAGTCCAACCCCCTGCTCATGCAGGAGACCTATACTAGGGATTCGAACTGCCGAACTTTCTGATATGTATGTGTGACTGTGTGTTTTTATGTGTGTATGTGTAAATATATATAAATTCATAAACCATTGTAATATAATCGATGCAAAGTAGGACTACATAATGCAAATACAACCATTCCATACATTGTATATTGTATAATATATTCAAATGGGTGATAGACATAACGAAATATATATCTCAACACAGTACGTTGTACCTGATAAATGGTGAATATATTCCCATAGCATTTAGATAATATCAACTATATCAATACCCCAAGAATTAGAAATCACATTGGTGGACCATCATTGCATCTTCTAACAGCCATAATCGCCTGAAATACAGCAACATGCACTAACCAATTCAAAACGCCCAACGCTTCCAGCTCTCAAGCACCGAGAAAAGAATCCACCATTCACTAATCCCAACTAGGAGCAGCAAGGCAGGCTTCTTATACAAGTATAAATGGAGAGTCCCATTCTCCCTGCTCCCTCATTGGCTGTGAAAATGAAAAGGAGGGACTTGAAATGAAAACAGCTGTTGGCTATTGCCAAGGTTAATGATTGGGGCCAAAAAAGGAATGATTTGCAGAATCCAGGCAGCTGAACGTTGAAACGTTTCATGACCCAACTAGGTGATATCATCAGTTGTTAGAAGGGAGTGGGGTTTGTTCCGTTCTATCAGTGTTGGTGCCCTATCAGTGTTGGTGGGAGAGTTCTTGGTGGTTCCAGTAAACTCCCACCAACACTGGTGCCACTGGAACAGAGAGCAAACCCTTCTAGCACTGATGATGTCTCCTGGTTGGGTCATGAGACGTCTGCAAGAAAACCACCTCAACTCAAAAAGCACCAAGGGAAGGGCCCCACGGCATCGATTCTAACTTTTGCAAGAGACGATAGCGGTAAACTCCTTTTTTAAACCAAAAAAGCTACAGGAATAATAATAAAAAAAAAATGTAAAAGTTGACACGGGGAAAAAATGTATCTCTCTGATTGCTAAGAGTCAACAACAGCTCATAAACAAATCAACAATTTTTTTAGGATTGTAAAAATGGGCAGATTTCTCTTTGGAAAATACCAGAAGATATTGTAAACCTCGAAGGACGATCCAAAATCAAACGATTCCAAATTATATTAAGCTTCTTCTTAAGGAATAAAAATAAATAAATAACATCCTAGTTAAATTCTTAAGCATAAGCTACTGATTTTATTTATTTATTTATTGTGATTTATATGCCGCCTTTCTCCCTAGGGACTCAAGGCGGCTTACAAAATGACAACTTCAATACAAATCACACTACAATACAAAATTAAAATCAGTAACCCAATTAAAAAACAATTTAAAATTATACCAGTGTACCCCCAAACGGATCAGTTTAATTAAAGAGCCTTGGTAGTACAGTGGTTTAATGCACCCTGTTATTAACACAGCTGCCTGCAATTTACTGCTGGTTCGAATCTCTCCAAGGCTCAAGGTTGACTCAGCCTTCCATCCTTTCTAAGGTAGGTGAAATGAGGACCCAGTTTGTGGGGGCAATAAGCTGACTTTGTATAAAATATACAAAAGAATGAAGGCTATTGCTTAACGCATTGTAAGCCGCCCTGAGTCTCCGGAGAAGGGCGGCATATAAATCAAATTAAAAAAAAAAAAATTGGCGGAAGAGCCACGTCTTCAGCTCGCGACGGAAGGAAAGAAGGTCGGGGGCTGTCCTGAGCTCAGTGGGCATTTTATGCTGGGATTGAGTCCAATAATTCCACCCACCCATCAGGTGTTCTAAACTCAGCAAAGGGCTTGTATTTTAAGAGCCCAGCGAGCTGGTAACTTATCTTTTAAAAATATATTCAGGATGATCCCCGAGAGATCATAGCTTCTCATTTTATTATATCTAATCCATGGCTTT